CTCCAACGCCCTGTTGCCCCGCGTGCGAGCCGTCCGAAAGCGAGAGTGCAGATTCGCCCGATCGCGCGAAAGATGGACGCGCGGGCGTCGCGCCGAGAGGAGAACGCGGCGCGGCTGGATCCCCGAGGCCTACTCTCGCGAGGCAGACCGGTTCCCTCGCACCCGCACACCGTGCACTTGGCAACCGCAGTTTTCTCCCGCGAGGATCTTCTGACCCTGATCTCTCTCTCTCTCTCTCTCTCTCTCTCTCTCTCTCTCTCTCTCTCTCTCTCTCCGCGGACACAACCTTGACTCGTTCGCCGACTTATCGGCCGCGCACCGACTGTTTCCGGGTCTTCGCCTCGGTCGTCCAGAGCAAACACGCCATTCGAAGACGCTCGGCTCGTCCCTCCTTCGCCTTCTTATTTGTTTTATTTTATTTTTTACCTTGTCTGAGCGGCCGAGCGCGAGGAGACAATTACGTAACAATGCGTCGTCGTCGGTTGCATAAAGGATCGAAGCGCCGTGTCGGAGTTTTCCTCGTAAACGTAAACTCATTATCTCTTTGAAAGCATTCCAAACGGCCGAATTATACGCTTGGAGCTAGGCTCGGCCGTTACGGTGCTGACGGAGAAATGCATTTGTATCTATTTGTACAAAGTCGGAAATACAATAGTCAGTCGAAAGCCGAATGAGAGAGCGCGTTTACGACATATTTGCGCCTCGCGCGCCGGCTATCGCTTTACCATATCGACTCGCGCGCTTCCAGCCACTTCGGATATGCACACGCATAATTTGTCGATGCTTATCGCTGCGATATATGCTCCGCGCTGCCGCGCCGTCAAACAAAGGAGATTGATACTCCGCGAGGATTTATCGGGATATTACGCGCTTGCGCGTTCTTCCGCTTGCGCGCGCACTTTGGCGCGATCTTTGGATTTGCAGAATCCGCGAGAGAGGTGGCGCAAGCGATTTGGATTTTTCAGCGATCGATCGTGGAACGCCAGCTGCGCAATAGGTCGCGCCGCAAACAAATTGCGCGCTCGGATGGATCTACTCGTCGCTGCGAAAGATCCCTAATCGACGCGGCCTATTATCCGCGAATGTGCGATTCCAAACATTGTCTTCGCTCGCGGCCATTATATCGCTAAATAGCATCGCCTTGGCGCGAAACCATTCCTTATCTGATGAAATGTTTGCCGACGTGGATTTTCATAATGACGCGCGCTTCGAGCAAAGGTCAAGCTTTCTAACGACGACGCAGCTTTGATCCAACGCTGCCGAGCATAGCTGCGCGGACAAAAGGATGACGCTCGTAATGCTTTCTAGGCTGTGAATGTTCGCCTCTTCCGTGTGGCTTGGAAGTGGACGATCTTTGTTTCCTAGAATGGGTTTTTGGTTGGCGTGCTCAACTCCCCGTGACCTTGCCAATCAGAGCAGCGTTTCTGTATAAAAACCCATCCACCCGCTTGCCCCCATTTTTTCTCTCCGTCTTCCACACTCGTCGTCGCTCGGTAGCAGCGGCGAGCAACAAGTACAGCCGATCGGATCATGCATGCCTCTCCCTCCACACCTCCCGAAGGCTCGCTCAGCATTCGCAGTGAGCATGGCGCTTTGGTACACGACGCGCGGGGCTTGCGCAAGAAGGGTTCGGTCTGTCGCGAGAGGCACACGTGCACAGCCGCGAGACTCGCCTCGGCGTGTTTCTCATCGCTGGAACACAGAAGCAGCGGGGACGGCGCGCGGCTGAATTAACATGTCGCCTGTCGGCGCCCCGGTGCAAATCAGCGGCGGCGACCTAGCGAGCGCGACACGATTCCGTCGCCGTCGCCGTCGTCGTTACGAGCACGTGCGCCCGCACGTAATAAGCACCATCGGAATATGATTGTGCTACTATATGTAGGTGCGCCCGCTGCTTGGCTGAGCATCACTTTCACCGCGGCACGCTTCGCCGCGGCGAGCGAGCTGCTGCTCGGACGTTCTAGTGCTTGGCGCTTTGCTCGCCTGCCGACTTTGACGCCCAAGCGCCGAATAAACCGCCACGATCGATCGATCGATCACCGCGAACCGATTCTCCTCCAGGCGTCGAGCGTCGAACAGTTTGCTCGATTCTTGCCAGGCGCGCGCCGCGAGTAATCTCATCGGGCGACCTCGATAGTGACGCGCGCGGGACGAAAATCTCCACTTGCCGCGCGAGCGCCCATAAAAGTCGAGCTCCGCAAGCCCATCGGTCGCCGATCGGCCGAGCCCGCGCGACGCTGCTCTACCAGCGCGGCGAGCACTCTAGCGAGGCGACGATAATTGCGAGTCCGGCGATGGCATCTCGCGGCGGCTAACGGTGCGCGCGCGCGCGCGTAACGAGCCGAAATTCTCTCGCTCGATGCCGGGGCGAACGAAAACGGAAAAAAAGCAGGCCAGCGGAAGCGCGCCGTTCAAATGGCTCTCGCGGCTTTCTAGCCGATTTTATACCATAATCGTGCCAACGCCAGCAGGAAGTTGCAGTCCTTTCGGCATCCGATAAATGTAAAGCGCGCGTAATAACGAGGCGCAGGTGCGGCGCCACGCGCGCCTGGCCCAGAGCGAGTCTTTCCTGCGGGCTTCTTACGCTGAACTCCCGGCGGGCCAAGTGTAGAGAGAGGGGGAGAGTTCGATCGATTCGCGCGCGACCGCGGGTCAATTTGCCGCCGTCGGGCCGTAGATCGAGTCTTCGCAGGCATTCGCTAGCCAGACGCACGCGCGCGCGTCCGCGATGAGTTCGTTGACTGCACGACTGTCGCGCGCGACTTTGCACGTCCCGATTATTGCAACAACGAGGCAGCTCGCGCGTGTCTGCAAAGCGACGAGCGACTCCGCGGCGAAGGAAGCCGCGAACAAAGTCCAGCGCGATCGCCGGTCGCGCGACAATTGGCTATGTACGCGCGCGCAACGGCGCAATTCCGCGAGCGAACAGTCGCGGAAAGCGCGGCAGGCGAATCGTAAACGCTCGACTGTCGCGGACGTGTACGCGCGCGCGCGCTGCGCTGTGTAACAGTCTGCTGCTTGGGTTCATAACGCGTAAATATCGCCGAGTGACGGGGCGGCTCGTTACCGTGGCGCAAAGAAAGCGCGCACTTTTCTCGGAAAGGCCGTAACTGTTGAAGACAAGAAAGGGGCAACAAGAGCGGCGGCGGTCTCCGATCTGCACGCGGCAGCGATTCATCGCTCGCATCGCTGGGCCGCAGCCGTTCTCAATCGCGAATTATCACTTTCGTTTTTCACGAGTGGCTGGCTGCCGCCGCCTCGTAAATCGCTGCCGCCGCTGCACGAATCGCTCGCGGTCATGTTACGGCCGAGGAAGATGCGCGCGCGATCCTCCGCGTCGAGCAGCACCGCCAGCGTAGAAAGTCCTCTCGCGCTTCGCGAGCGCACGCGTGACATAAACCTATAAACACCTGTCGTCCTTGTGTGCGGTGGTCAACGTAACCACTTTCTTCTTCTTCCGGACTCGCGCCGAGATCGACTCGACCATTATCGCCGAACAATCTTGATGGCGATCGTGCGCGCGCAAGCTCGGGCGACGGCGCCATTAGAAAGATCCGCGATCGCACAATTGACACGTCGAAAACAGCGGGAATACAGCTCTATCTGCGCAGATTAGTTATCGTCGACGCGTCCACTGACATTCCAGATGTATCGATCTTGCGTTCGCGAGTGCATATGTGTGGCAAGCAGAGAAAGAGAGAGAGAGAGAGAGAGAGAGAGAAAACAAGAGCTAATGCAGATAATAGCGCAGATTGCGCGAGTGCTTCGTTACATAGAAAGCTCTTAGGCGCGCAATCATCGTAAAACTTTATAGACACTGAAGTTCAACTTGGATCGTCGCGCTGTCGTGTCGCCTTGTTCTTTTTATCGGTCTCTGCCCCGTAATTTCGGTGGCGATAGCGTGGCTTTTACAATTTCGACATTGAACGCGGCGCCGCTGCGCGAGTCAATTATCGGATGTGCAAACATGCAAAGATTATCGGCGAAGGACCGCGAGTGAAAACGATCGGCGCTCGCTCGCGGCTCTCCGCGCGAGTCTGCGAGAGCGCTTTAATAGCTCACGCAGAGAGCAAACCGGCGGCCGGCCGACTGTGCCATTACGCAGCAACGCCCATTATCCTCCGTTCTTCCCAAGGGAGCTTTTCCCCGGTAGTCTCTTAGCAGCCGCACACCCTCTCCTCTCCGAGAGCGACCTGCGCAATGTAACTCGCCGCCGCGAACGCGCCTCTCGTCGGCTGATCGGCGAGCTGCGGAGGTGCAGCCAACGAAGGTGGGCACCTGCTGCTCAGCGCTTTCTCGTTTCTTCCTCCGCGCGTGCGATATCGCGACCTGCGCGCCGATTTGCCTCTCTTTCCATCAGCCGTCTTTTGTCGTCCTCGAGCGAAGGGCTCGCGCCGTCTTTGGCCAATCCGTCGACGCCTTGGCGACCATTGCGGCGAGGCTCTCTTTTTACTTCGTCACTTTACCGCAGCTCAAGAGCAAGGCTACAGCTCAATTATTTTTTGCCGACCTTTTTTCTCTCGCGAGCAACGTAGCTTCAACGTCAAAGTTTGTTTGCTTTGTAATTTTTTATTCGATTAATGCTAATGCGCACGGGAAGAACCGGTCGACATTGGTAACTCTATACGCAATTCTAATTAATTCCAGACTAACAGTGCTCCGTTTTACTGCACAACTCCTTAAATGCAGCTTTCTCGTAGCCTTGCGTATGCAAAAAACCAGCGACGTGCAAAATTAAAAAGAGTAATGAGCTCAAAATAAGTTGCCATGAATATTAAATTGTGTGAAAAAAGAACACCAAATTCAAGGTCAGACCGTTCTACGCTAAACTGATTGTCCACTTGCGTGTGGGATGTGTGTCATGAACTTTTCGGAGCAGCTCGTACAGGTGTTCGACTACCTTACCCATAATGTAATTAAAACAAAAAACAAAAAAAAAAACAAGAAACAAAAGTGTACCGTAGCTGATGTTAGTAAAAGAAATTAAAAGAGCTTCTCACCGTGAGTTGGGTCTTGTCTGGAGCGATGGCGGTTATTTCGATGGGTCGGGGTTCCGGTGGTGTAGCTCGATGTAACAGAGCAGCCGGTACCTTGGCCACCAGCGAAAGTCGTCTCGTCAGCCTCCTACCGAGCTCCACTCGTCTACGCAACCGAACTCGTGGACCCGTACCCTTGTAATTTCCAAACTCCATCTTCAACGACATCTCCTCCTCCTCCTCCTCCTCCTTCTCGCAATCACTTTTTGTTACTGCCTCTTGCGACGCATTTTAATTTTCGACAGACTAAAATGGCAGTGGTTCGTGTGTATATTGTTGATGAACTATCGCTCGCCAGCGGATGAACAGGTTAGATTTCGTGGAATTGCTGTTTTAAAGACTTCCATCCTTTTCTCACTATCCAAATTAACGGACGTTCGTTTGGCATATCTGAGAATTGTATCCAAAGACTGCACACCTTTTGTTCACTCGCTACTATGTTGTTGGTCTTCAACGATTGTTTGCTGGTTATCTCAATCCGTCGTTCAGTCATTGAATGCCTCACAACGCAAAGATAAACACAAGATCAACTGTCACTGCGGATAGCAGAAAAACAAAAGCCAATAAAGAAAACAAAGTCTTGGAACTGTACGGACTGAGCGCAAAAATGAAAGCTAATAATTTTGCAAGGAGTGGCAAATAAGGCAAGCTGTCAGCGTCGGCTGAGCGAGGACAAAGTCGCGAGACAACTACGTTTGTGCCGGCCACAGCTTTTTCGCTGTCGTGAATCGCTAGAGCGGAGAGTGGAAGCAACACTAGACGATTCGCCAAATCGTGTCGGCGACGCGTGCATGTCCTCCCCCACCGCGCTTGCACTTCTCGCTCTCGCCCACGTGCTCCACACGCGGGTGTGTGTGTAACTGACTGCTGCACTTGCACTGTCCGTAATCACAGCAAGTTTAATTTTAACGACTCGGCGGTGGTGTGACTGGCCTCCGACGACGCGTGCAGTCTGTTTTGATTCGGCACCGAACTACTGCACTCGCCGGTTAAATATTGTCGTTCCTCTGTCAGGAAACTCTTGGCAGTCTCGATTTGAAGGCGACGACGGCGGAGTAAAAGCGCCAGTTGGGCGATTGATCAGAAAGTCAACAGCAACAATGCCATGTTAAATATAAAAAGACGGAGCTGGAAGCGAAGAGGAGGGGCCGTGTCTGACTGGTGCTGCGGCGGCCGGCGCGCTTCGACTGAGAGATAGCCGCTGCCGGCGCGCGCGGCGTGGAACTTGAAAATTGAATCGACTCGCGCTAGTGGCGGCGCGGCCTCCTACCTCACAGCCGCGCAACGCGTTGTTACTCGCTTCTCTCTCTCTCTCTCTCTCTCTCTATCTACATACCGTGTGTAGGATACAGTAGGTAGGCACTATCCGTGTTACTGCCCCCGCAGATGTATCGCGTGCAGTTGCCAAGAGGCGCATCGTTTTCATCCGAGCAGATATCTGCATGGGAACATACTAGCGCGTAATCGCATAGCGCAATTACAATTATATAACGACAAGCTTCTTATGGCTCTCTCGCTCTCTGCTTTATCATTTTAATTCGCTATTATTTCTATCGCCGACCAGACTACAGACCTGCCTCGTGCTTAATTATCCCCCCGCTATTCTCGTTAATTATGCATGCCACGAGCAATTTCAATGAGACAGAGAATACGCTCGTTAGTCATGCGGATAACTTTTTATTGATACTCTCGCTCTTTCGCCAATCATTTGTTTTCAATGCGAAATACACACTCGATCGGCTTTAATAATTATGCGTTATTCCGGAGATTCTTTCGAATAAGTCTCGCTCAGTGTAATTGCTTGACCGTAGCGGTAGCTCCTTTGCAATTATCCAAATATCAAAGATTTATCTCTCGTGAGAGACCGATTGAAAAATTAGAAAGTTGTGTTCTCGCAAGAAGCCTATTCTATGTGGGGTTTATCTAGTGAAATTATCCATGCAAATGTACAATTTCTTTTAAAGTTTTTTAAAATCGTATTTTGTAACAATTTCAACTTCACCGAAGTAAAAAAAAATGTTTTCCATATAATTTTTTATCGGAGTGTATCAAAGTGCTTAATATTCAAAACAATTTCATTGGATTTTATAATGTTAAGCTATTAAAATTACGCGTCTAAGTTCTTGTTTAAGTTGTATGTGAGCGAATTAAATTACTCGCATACTTTCGTCGTGATTTCCGAACCTGAATGAGCATAAATTAAGGGTACATTTGATTGGCTGTCTGCAAGAGGGTCAAATAAAAGTTGCATTGTACTGTCGTTCTATACCACTTTAGTATGATTTAGTCAAATGCTATCATTGGTACCTTCATTACTTGCACACATAATTTCCATTTAAATAATTCTCCTTTTTATTCCTTCTTCAATAACGATAAATAATGGCATGTTTAAATTTTGAAAGTCTGACTGTTATGTTGTTGTGAGGCTCATTGAAAAATAATTATTGCAACAATTCGTACAGTAACTGTCTTTCGGCCGATCGTTTACTCGCATTTTCCGTGAAGTTCAATAACAGTGCAACTCTTTTATCTTTTTCTGTTTGTAAGACCATAGCCTAAAGCAACACGGATGATTGCTCAATGTGAATTCACTCGAAGTCGAAGAAGAAAACAAAATGTAAGATAACCTTAAAGCTGCAGTTTAGATAACGAATCGACATTGTGAAAAGTCGAATTGTTTTCTCCAAACGAATGTAGTAATCGATAGACGCATGGCTTAACAATTCTTCTAAGTTATCATTGCAAAATGATCAAGCAGCGTCGCATGTACACATTGTGCAGCGTTGACGAAAGAATCCTTATAAGCTTGCGCGCTGTTGCGCTTGCGAGGACTCATAGGCGAGGTGTCGAGTGGCCCATTGTTCGTGACTCGGCGGGATGCGCGTGTAAATTGTCTCTGCGTCCCGCGGACTACGGCGCGAGGCCGCATACTAGGCGTCGAGCGCAGGCCGGATCGGACCGGCAATCGGCAGCTGGAAAAAGGAACGAGCCGCGAAGCGAGTCGCGCTTTTCTTTTCACGATTGCTTTTCACTTCACGTTCTCTCGCGACGCGCGCGCGCGCGCTCCGTTTTCATCCACTCGCCGGTGCGCTCGCTGCTGAACCGGCTACGTGCGAAAATTTAACCTGTTTGCAACTCGCTAACTTGTGCCTTGAATCGCGATACACCGGGCGTCCAACCTCGCGCGCTCGACGGCAAAAACATTTCACTCGGCGAGTGCCAGCTGGAAATTGGTCGATCGGGCGGAAAATGGCGCAGCGACTGGACGCGACCAGCGAGCAGAGGCTGGCCAGGCAACTGGAGCGGCTGAAGGGAATCGAAAGGTCGGAGATCAGGATGATCGAGGCCGACAGGCGGCGTTTCCGGATGAAGTACCGAAAGACAGCCTTTCCAAGAGCATCTTTGACAGGCCCGCCGGCAGTGAGTCATGTCTTGCGTGAATTATCGTCTCCTCCTCAATGAGAGAGGCTTATTGCGAGCCGCCTGCGCGCAGATTGGATTGCGCCGCGCAGCATCGGCTTTGTGTTTGTTTCTTTATCCCAGGCGTAATAGTTATTTGCCAATGTCATAACGGAGTAATTGATGTGCGTGCAGGTAAAAGAGCCGAAGATTAACGACCCCGTGATTCTTGGACTCGGCGATGATCGTCGGCCGACGAATGATGGGAGCCAGCGGCAGCCGCCGAACAAATTGGAGGAACGAGATTACGAGGCAATTCGCTCTCTAATTTTCACGGGCGGCCAAGTCGATCTGGATAAGATCCTATGCCTTCATCTGTTGAGCGTTCACGTCATCGACATTGACGAGGCCGAGCTGCTTCCGCCGAACGACCAGAAAAACGGTACTTTCCCCGTGGCGAGGCCTCGCCTGCGTGTGTGCGTCGGCTAACGGCGCGCGAAATCGTTGCGTTCCCAGGGCAGCCGCGAATCGCCGCCGAGGAAAGTGAAAACAGTGCGAGCGACATTCTGCCGTGTTACGTCGCGGCGATCCAGCGAGACGAGCGGCCGTCGCAGTTCGAGCCGAGGTCGGCGGCGGCGCAGCGAGAAGAAGCGTCGCATCCCGAGGCTCGGCTTTGCCATCGACGCCACCACGCCGCCGCCGGGAACGCGTTCCACAGTGCCGCGGCAAAAATGCTCGTTGCGCCGCCGCTCATCTACAACAATCTTCTGGAAAGTCGCCGTGGACATCCGAGGGTCCAGCCGTCTCTCGAGCATTTGCTCAGATACGCGCATACCGGTATCACTCGGCTTTGCTTTATCTTGCTTTTCGTAGCGTCTCGACTATCTCGGCGAGACGTTGTACGTCGCAGGTCGAACGTCGGATAAATCAGACGAGAAAATGGCCGGTAGCTCGCAGCGAACACGCCTCTGCAGAAAGGAAAGCTACTTCGTTGGCACCGAGGCCTCCGACCGCTGCAGACCAATTTTCATTTGCTTTAACGACCAGCTGAAAAAATTTGTTCACACAGTGGTGGAAATTCTGCGAAATGTTAACCTCAGAAAAGCAAATGTTCTGCTCGACATGCTCAACAGTCCGCGAATCGTCACCGCCAAATTGTCAGAATTGACAGATTTCATCGACTCGCTTCAAGACTTCTCCTTCGTATCAGTGCCCGAAAGCTTCACTTGCATACGTGGTTACGCAATAGAAGATGCAGACTGTCGCAGCGATGAAAGCAGCGAGCAACCGGTCGCGGAAACTTTAATTTTGGAGTCGACTGTATCGGCTTTTAGCAATCTACTCGACGACGTAAGGCGATCCATTGGCGAACTTTTGAGGAGATCAAGCAGTGATGCGGGTAGCGTTGAGAATCTGATGAACAACATGTCGCTTATGTCGGTCGCGTCGCAATCCAATGCGGCTAATCAGAAATCCTCGAGAATGTCTTTTGGCGCGAGAAAGTCCATTGAAAAAATTGAGCCGATCAAGGAGCCTGCAACGAAGAGCTACGAGGCTATCCAACAGAAATTTAATGAAGAGGCAAGCGCCCGATTATCGAAGGTATCGTAAATAAAAAACGAACGGATTCTCAGGACACCGAATGAGACGAGATTCTTTGGCACTGTAGAGCGTGAAGCAAAGCCAGTTGTATGCCGATCCCGATCGTGTAATATTGCGCCGAATGACCAACTCGCAGAGGATTCTCGTCGGACAGATGTGTGCTGCTCTAAAGACTAAGCAAATCAACAACGAGGGTTCATCGCCATTTACATAATGAGCTGTGTAACATGAATATATATTCGTACAGCTACATTCTTATTCTAGGCATGGCAAAGCAGAAGATACCGCTCCCAGTCTTGCTTAAGCCGGTGTTATCTCGAGAAAGCATAGACTACTTGACGCAGGGCACAATCTATGCCAAAGATCAGAGCGCGGATCAAACGAAAGTTCAAAGGAAAACTCAAATTTCTTCTTTACGCATCGATTTAACTGATTTCGTTTCGACAAAGGTTTTTCTATATGATTATGTGCTCTGTTTACGTTATTTCTAATGCGATTTCTATATCATTTCTCACTTAGACGACATTGAATATTTTTTTTAGATATATCATGAAATTATAGAAGTGGAAAGTCAATGTCAACTACAAAATTTCATGAATGAAGTAGTTTGATATTCGATGCGCTCTTTTCAAATATTTAGTTCCCATGTTCTGCACTCTAGTCTTTCTTCTGTGTTTAATTATATATACCACCCTATATGTTGCGCCGCAAAAACGAAGATATCATAACCTAGAAGCTCCTTCTTAAAAGCTCTCGTGCGATCTTGTGTGAAAAATATATTTTTCGTAGAATATTTTCAATATACAATGTTAATAGCTATAAAATAACTAAATAAAAACAGCGCATTAAATTATTATTTGGTTTATATGAGATTATTAGAGTAAAGTAGCTACATAAACATGGATAAACTTTTGACTAGATTAACTTCCTTATGTCGAACTTTAGCTAATCGGTCGTCTATTGCTTGTCAATGTCTAAGGTAGTTAATTTTCTATAATATTTAATATACGTTGTAGATTAGAAAATTCTGTTTGTAAAGAAAATTTTATTTCAGATTTCAAAAGCAGAATGCACAAATGCATTTCGCAGCAAACCCAGCAAAAACAAAATTAACCATACATATGAATCAGAATGGCACAAGCTTTTGGCACTTACAAAAACGCAATATGTTTATTCAAACACAGGATACTCCCAATCCTAACAGTTTAAAATTTCTTCCTGGTAAAGAAGTTTTAGGTCCAGGCCAAACTAAAGATTTTCCTAATGCATCAGAAGCATACTGTTCTCCATTAGCAAAAATGCTTTTTCGTATTGAAGGAGTTAAGTCAGTCTTTTTTGGGCCAGATTTTATAACAATTACAAAAATAGATGAAGATATGGACTGGACGATAATCAAACCAGAAATATTTGCTAATATCATGGATTTCTTTGCAAGTGGCTTACCAATATTCAGTGAAACTCAACCATCGTCAGATACTTGTTAGTACTGTACTGATAATTAATTATGAATCTGCTATCACTGTTAGTGTTTTCATTTTTTGCAGTAATTAGTGAAGACGATGATGAAATTGTACAGATGATTAAGGAGCTCCTGGACACAAGAATTAGACCTACCGTTCAAGAGGATGGAGGAGACATTGTTTTTATGGTAGAGTTTAATTCTAATTAAAACAAAGTAATTATTTGGAAGTTATACTGTTATTAACTAGACTATTATACTGTTCTAGGGTTTTGAAAATGGTATAGTAAAGCTCAAAATGCAAGGTTCTTGCACAAGTTGTCCAAGTTCAGTTGTAACATTGAAGAATGGTGTTCAAAATATGATGCAATTTTATATACCAGAAGTTCTTGGAGTTGAACAGGTTGAAGATGAAATAGATAAAGTAGCAAAAACTGAGTTTGAAAAACTTGAAAAGAAAATTGAAAAACCCAGTAACGAATAAAAATAGACATCTTCAAGATTTTTTTTATTTGTAAAATAATTGTAACATACAAAACTAATTGTTAACTTAAAAATTATTTTAAATAACATCTAATTACTTAAAAATGATAAAACAAGTTAAATAAATTTTTTTAGTCTGTTGTTTTATTGGTCATTTTTTGTACAAAATTATTGACGGGTAGTGACAGAAACTTGCCATACTCTAATAATATTGTCAGAATAACCAGCAAACAAAGTTTGTCCATCAGTAGACCAAGCCAAAGACAAACATTGAGGAGGCTCAGCCTTGCTGGAAGCATTATTATTGATTTCAGGTTTTAGTTCTTCAACCATTTCCTTGCCCTCAAGATCCCAAATCTTGATGTATGGTCCATAAGCAGCACACAACCAGTAGCGATTGGGACTAAAGCATAGAGCTGTGATAATGTCATTATGGTCAAGGGTGTGTAAGTGTTTTCCATCATTCAAATCCCACAACATGGCTTTATTATCCTGTAAGATAAATATGCATTTTATAAATATATAACAATATTATAAAGCTTCAGAATGCCAATAGTTTAGGATTATATGATTGTACCTTGCCACCAGAAGCACAAAGAGAACCATCTGGAGAAACAGTTACAGTGTTGAGGTAGCCAGTGTGTCCATTGTGGTTGATCTTGAGACGACAGTTTGTCAAGTTCCATACCTGGAAAAAATATTTCATTTACTATAAGATTTAAATAAAATAATAAATAAATCATGTTTTTATTTTTATGAACATCAGTCCCATATCCGCAAACACTCACAGATATCATGTTAAAAAAAAGTTATGCATCATTTAAACATAATAAATAAATCTTTAAAAAATAATCTCAATTTGATTAAACTTATGAATAATTAAGTTTGATATATAATTTACCTTGACGACACGATCCCAACCAGCAGACACAATAATGGGGTTTGAATGATTGGGAGAGAACCGGACACAGCTGACCCAGTCAGAATGTCCATCTTCTTGAATAGTATATTTACATTCAGCCAGTGTATTCCATAACTTGATGGTCTTGTCTCGTGATCCAGATACAATTTGACGATTATCAACTGAGAAAGCAACGCTTAGAACATCCTATTGATAAACATAATTTACATTTAATTTTCAACAAGTCTCTATATTTTGAAATCCTCAGACATATTCAATTAGATAATGGCAATGATGTAAGGAAAGACAATAGTACTGTCTGTACTTACGGCAGTGGCATTTGAGCTCACCTCTTCTATGTATTACATAAAAAAAAATATATAAAAAAAATGCTTCAGTATTATTTTTTATTGGAATTTCCAGATTCCCTAAGATGAAAACAAGTAACAGCTTGTAGATCAATGTCACACCTGAGTATGGTCTTCAAACCTTCTGGTAGTGCGACCAGCAGCCAAGTCCCACAACCTTAGAGTCTTGTCCCAAGATCCTGATAAAGCATAGTTTCCATCCGAAGACAAGACAACATCACTGATAAAGTGAGAGTGACCATACAGACGCTTTTGAGGTACTCCGTAATTGATCTCGTCACGAGTCAACTTCCAGACGATCAAAGTCTTGTCTGATTAAAATATATCAAAAATACATGGTTATTACATGAATGTATTGCATATATTGCGAGCATGCGTAAATAAGCACGTGCAAGTAAAAATTATTGGTGAAATAAGTTAAATACATAGAAAATAGACAGGCATTAAATAATATGACATTTAATTTGAATTTGAAAAATAACAGGCATTAAATAATAAGATATTCATTTTAAATCTGAAAAAGAATTGAATGAATTTTGCATGGTGAACACAGCGATACATACCACGTGAAGAAGACAAGATCATGTCCGGGTATTTTGGATTGGTTGCAATTTGCGTAACCCATCCATTGTGTCCTTTGAGGCATCCTCTGTATTGAAGAGTTTCAGTCATTTTCAATCTGATTTGAGCAATCAACTGTTGGATGCAAGTGGATTACTTTACACTCGTCGGACAATCCAACGTCGTGCTTGAAAACTCAAACCGTAAAGACCGGAAAGAGAGATGGTCAATGGCAGGCAAAAGCAGCAATGAGAAAAATTAAACAAGATGTGAATTCCAAACGAAAATTCGAAAGAAAGAAGCTACTACTTCCATCTGGTGCAGTATTTCAGTAAGTTTCTTGTCATTCTTGGCATTGAGTCAATATCGGTTCAGTAGGTTTCGACGTTTTGTTCGGTTCGGTTTTCGGTTATATGGTTGTATCCAGAGGTCGCACTCTGACCTAACGTAAATTTGCGTTCGCGTTGTGAAGTTGAAATAAATTTTCATTTACCAAGATCAATTATAGAAATCGGATTTGGATTTATATTTGCTTATAGAGCGACATCATTCACAAGATGAGCCATCCAAAAATTTTATTTTCCAAAGTTATGACAAATATAGGTCTGTTTTATAACCATGGCCGTTGTTTCTATACCGGTGTTTCTGATTTCACGTTTCTCATGATATTTGTTTTGAAAGTGACAAAGTACAGTATTAACTCAACTCGCTAATTAATCTGAGAAATGCGTATAAAGTTTAGATAAATTTATTTGCTAGTTAGTTTTATTAATTACTAGAACTAAATCAAGATTTAAAATCTTGAATCAACAACAAATTTATTCAGATAAGTTTCTTGGATACATTTTCCATAAACTATTATTATTATTGCTATCAACGCCATTAAATTCAGATACTTTGTAAAAATATATTTTTATTTCAGATGAAAATAAGTATTGTCTGATATACCAAATACACTTTAACTTTCTCTAACAATAATGTCTAATAATAACGTCTTCTTTAACTTGGCATCTACGCTTCGATACATTTGACTTAATGTTACAATATTGTGTGTAAAATCATTAGTAAATTATATTTATAAATTAAGATTTAATAATTAATAACTTATTGATAAACAAGATTGTCTTCTGAAGCTACATATGAAAGTTCTTTTATTCGTTAAAACACTTGTGCTTATAGATTTCGTTTAATAAACAACAGTTTTCGGTTAGAAGTGATATATATGAGACAATGAATTTGATTTGTTGTTCATCATATAACTATAAGCCGGTAGGTGAAGTAGAGCCTTAATATAGACAGCGCTTTTCCCTATTTTCGAGAGTACGACGGATATTGCCATTGCGCAGTAAAAAAGAATCAAACTGGACCGTCACAATAGGATGAAATTTAAAAAACATTTGATACAAATAATTGAAAAGTGTAAATATTTATTACAAATTGTCGATATTAAGAAATTTCACAGGAATTACTCATTAAAAAATAAAATTTATCCATTGATAATTATTACTCGCAAATCATAGTTATGATATCTCGAAAAATAATTATAATTTTTGTAAATAAAAAAAGTGGAATAACTTTAGGATTACATTTTTTAATTGTATTATACCTGTAGTCTTAAAATGATTTTCTATGTACTGAAAAATCCTATAAAAAATTATATTTTGGGTTATTTATTAGTTACTATGTGAATTATAATTATATTTGAATTCTCTAAATCACAAAATAGAGAATTTGCCTTTATGTTGCTACATGTGTGTGTATGTGTGTGTGTATAGTGGGCACTGGGTATACGACTAGTGACGACACATCTGGTATATTCCGTTATTATTTGTGCCTATGTAATAAACATTGCAGATTTGCCTTAATTTAAGCTCTTTTTGAAAAGTTTGTTTGTTATACCTATATCTATACTTTGAAAACTGACCACCTAAATCTCTTGATCTAAGTTTTCATAAAATATTTTACTGTCATCAATTTCGAAATGTTCAACCTTTTAGCGCTAGAATAATGGAAAACGGAATGCACCTATATATCTGCGCATACTATATAGAATACGTGTCTGATTTAATATATTGTATAGCGTGAGTTTGTGCGAGTCTGCCGATACTTTTCTAGATGTGCCGAAAAGCAAATCTACAACGTAAACTGTACTAGCTAGTACTGGCTATACATATCTAGTTTATCTAGTTTATTGTAATCTACATCTTTATAGCATGAGGTATTGAATATTGCAGTATTTAAATGAATTGATTTTTATTAAAAATATCTTTTTTGTTCAATATCAGAAGGGAATTATAATAATTTTCATTGAATTATACCATTAATATCAGATATTAAAATGGCTAACAGTGGTGAGGAAATCTAATCTTTTGTAGTTTTTTTCATCTACATGTACAACAATTAAAAGGTTATAAAATATTTAAATAAATTTATTGTTTTCAGAGGATAACAAAAGTGAGGCATCAGTGAACATGGAAAGTGAAAATGATAACGTTGAAGCTGAAGACACTGAAAAAATAATGATCATTGATCCTGATTCTGAAGTTTGTTAAAATAGTTTTGATTTACCTACTATTTTTAAGCATGAGAGATAATATTATTTAAATATTTGTTATAGGAATTAGACTTCAACCATTCACGATTAACCAAATTAGAAAATTTAGAACCTTTAACGAAAATAAAAACACTGTGTTTTACATGGAATTTAATTAAAAAAATTGAAAATCTTGATACTTTGCACACACTGGTAGAATTGGAATTACGAGACAATCAAATTACTGTTATTGAAAATTTGAATGCTCTCGTAAACTTAAAGTAAGCTATTAAAATACAATTTTCATAGAAATAAAATTTTTTTTTGTATCTATAAATAATTTTATTACTTTAATTTCCAGATTGTTAGACTTATCATTCAATAGAATAAAAAAGATAGAAGGTTTAGATAACTTAATCAATTTACAAAAATTATTTCTTTCCTCCAATAGAATCACAAAAATTGAAAATATATCACATTTAAAAAATTTGACATTACTAGAATTAGGTGATAATAAAATTAGAGACATTGAAAATTTAGAAGGATTAAATAATTTAACTAACTTATTTTTGGGAAAAAATAAAATCACAAAAATCCAAAATTTAAATACTTTGCGTAATCTACAATTACTTAGCATTCAGTGTAACAGGATTGTACGTATTGAAAATTTGACTGAATTGACCAATTTGGAACAACTGTATCTATCTGAAAATGGATTGACATGTATAGAAGGTTTAGAAAATTGCCTAAAAATATCAACCTTGGATCTTGCTAACAACAAAATTAAAAAGATTACAAATATAAATCATTTAACTGAACTAGAAGAATTTTGGGTAAATGTTTGCACTTTTGCAAATAACAAATTATTTTATTATTTACTACTTATCTTTTTCTATATAATTTATAGATCAACAATAATGAAATAGAGGATTGGAGTACTGTTGACAACTTAACATCAAATACAAAGTTAGAAACAGTGTATTTTGAGCATAATCCTATTGCAAAGGATCCTAATTACAGAAGAAAAATCAAACTTGTGTTACCTTGGTTATCGCAGTTGGATGCTACGTTATGTAGATGAAACAACTGCTTATTTTTTAAAGAAAAAACTGAAATTGGTCAATGTAACTATGGCAAAATATTGTAAGAATTTGAATCAAAAGAATATCACTTATATTAAATATTTTAATTTTTAGTATTTTTGTAACTATGCTATACAAAAAATTCATTAGTATTAATATATGAATTTTACACAGTTATTGAAAGACTAAAATTTTTTTGAATTCTTCCAAAAATGTTAAATTTAGTATTTAAAAAGTAAGCTTTGAATATTATTATATTGCTATTAATGTGCATTTAAAAATTTTATTAAGTACACTGCTTTTAATTATTAAAAATTATTAATGTATAAAAATACTCACTCTGCTAGATGTTATTAAATCTAATTTTAGATTGCATAGCTATCCTACAAGTGTTTGAAATTCATTTAGTGATACGATATTAATTATATACAGATTTTTGAACAATAATTGTATACTTATTTGAATAAATAAAAGAATGAGTATATAAGATATTGTTTTTGGTGAATAGGATTAATTTATTAATATTTTAAACATAAACAAATCCCCTTCAGATTACCGATATGCACTTATTAAAGTATACAAATATTTACTGTAGTTAGGGGATTTATATATAAGGAGACATTGGATCCAGATTATCAAGATAAAAGCTATTAATTTGCTTAACATCCTCGATGGCGCAGGATGCGAGTAATGATGAAAAATATAGATCTACTACATTATCGTCATCAGTACAACAATATATCATTTGATCTTTTTTCACCGTGATATATATACATGTATGATGGACCGATGTCGGACATCAGTCTAGAATCTATTTAGAAAATTCCTAAATAGGAAAAAATTCCTATAAAATTTTATTTGTTAAACCAGTGAAAAACAGTATATTAATTGTAATTGTTAAATTAAAAAATATCTATGCGTGAAATTGATTTTCAAAGTATTACAAGTTGATTGTCGATTTTGCTGAAATAATTTGAATTTATGCATCATTAACATCAAGCGTCATTAATGAAGTAAAAAAATATTTAATCACGAATAACATTCAATATAATCGATAAACAATTGCCGTCACGTAAGATAACAATTGTAAAATAACCTTGATACGTACAAAAGCCTTTGGGATATTAATGAATCGCGTATTTGTGATTCGCGCGTGCGAAGAGCCGTTGAAGGAGTGGGAGAGCCGCGTGGGGATCACAACGTCGCATTGACTCCGCGATTCGTGGGTGCAAGGGAGCCGCCTCAGAAGGTGAGTTGTGTGCTGTATACACATACATGTGTGCTCTCATACGCGCGTCCAGTCTGTACTGTAGTTGACGTGTTCAGCGAAGAGGTCAGCACAAGCTAGCGAGGCGCTGAAAGTTAAAGCCGTTGCACGATGTGGAGAAGCCAGTCAGAAACTCAGAATTGTGTGTGACGTCACTGCGAGCGAACGAGCGAGCAAGAGTACTGTGAGAGCGCTGGCGACGACGAGATATCATACTCTCTCGCGGGTCGGCCATTTTGTGAGCGTGTGCACAATATCGGGCGCAGGATAATCATAGTGTTCTGGTTGTGCGGCTGGCAAATGCTTATAGAAGCCGGTGCGCTTGAGAGCGAATGAACGTCGACATCGAGGAAACGAGATAAAGCTTGGCCCGAGAACATCCTCGCCGCCGGCTCAACAACTCCCACTCGCGCTCTCTGTCTCACTCTCACGGTAGCGCTCGCACTCGTTCTCTTTCTCTCTCACACTCACACGCTGACGAACCCACGAGACGAAGAACGCCGAGTTCAAAATCGTTGCGCAAAACCCGACGATGGAGGAAAAGACATCACTCAAAGAACTCGACCAGTGGATTGAACAGTTAAACGACTGCAAACAACTGACAGAGAGCCAAGTCAAGACCCTCTGCGACAAGGTCAGTACTTCCTGACGAGAAGCCGTTTTCGCCTCTACTCCTACGCTTTTGCCTGCGCCATGCCTCTAGCCGGTCGATTTCGCTTCGCCTCTCTCATCCGCTCAGCTTCTGTTTCCGTCTCAGATAGTCCGCTACTTCGCTTTCGCATAGCCATCGAAAAGAAATGGGTGGACCGTGCCTGCTATTCCCGCGTTACACCTGTTCTCTTTCCTGCTCTAGCTATTTCTCTCTCTCTCTCTCTCTCTCTATCTCTCTATCTATCTATCTATCTTTCTCTTTCTCTCGCGCACTCGTCTTTTGGTCCAGGAACGACTATGCTTCCTTCCTTTTTCCGCGCTCACGACACGACACGTTTCTCCTACGCGGCAGTGACCAGTTTATTTTTCTCCGCCAGCGGCGCAATCGATACGTCTCCTTTGCTAGCCCTCTCGCGCACTCAAGAATCCAGACTGCAATCTTTGTCAATATGACTCGGAGATTTTTTGTTCCTCGAAGTATAGTTGATCGTGAAAAACTGACACTAACGACGCATAACTTATTCGCTCCGTATCTCGTGATTTCCCAAAACGTCATCGGTATAGTGAGCCGCGCTCTGATGACGAAATTATGTTACCATTTGGAACAGTGTAATTCGAGCGACATCCACAAACGAATGGCTGTTAATTAACTGTTATAACTGCAACAGGTTGAAGACGCAATTCCCTTTCGCATTGTCTTTTTTCATCTGATATTCAATAATTGTTTTGCACTCCTGTAAGCAAAGGAGGAAATTCTGACATGACATGTGTATAGAAACAGTTTCTTGTTCCAGTTCTAGCAAGTTGACAAACACAATATAACTTCATTGATTTATATAGGTGGTAAATGTGTTGACATAATGTGATTCCTAGATTTGAAAATGACTCATCCACATGCATTATGCTTATTATCATTTCCTTGTTGTTATGACAACAATTCTAAATATATCCAAGTTGTGATGTTGACACATTAAATTGGCATAATTGATCAGCTGAGGCTCAATAATGAAATCACACTAGTGGAAGCTTCCACAATGTTTTTGCTGAATATAATGTTTTTTAATTTGAAAACTATGAATATTACATTAAGCCTTTATATGATTCTTGCTAGGCAAAAGAAATATTAGCAAAGGAGTCCAATGTTCAAGAGGTGAAATGTCCTGTAACAGTGTGTGGAGACGTCCATGGGCAGTTCCATGATTTAATGGAATTGTTCCGGATAGGCGGAAAATCTCCAGATACAAACTACCTGTTCATGGGTGACTATGTTGATCGTGGTTACTACTCTGTTGAGACTGTCACTCTTCTTGTAGCATTAAAAGTGAGTATTTATTGAAGTGATTTTTTAATGTTCAGTAGAACAGATATCCTAATGTTTGTTTATTATAACATTAGGTAAGATATAGAGAAAGAATAACCATCCTACGAGGCAATCATGAGTCCAGACAAATTACACAGGTGTATGGGTTTTATGATGAATGTCTTCGTAAATATGGCAATGCTAATGTTTGGAAGTTTTTCACGGATTTGTTTGATTATCTACCTCTGACTGCATTAGTAGATGGTCAAATCTTCTGTTTGCATGGTGGACTTTCTCCCTCTATTGATACACTGGATCATATCCGTGCATTAGATCGCCTCCAGGAGGTACCACATGAAGTAAGTAATGGAGACATAGCCAATATATCTAGATATTTATTAATAGAAAAACACTAAGTAATATATTTTTGCTTTAGGGACCTATGTGTGACTTGCTATGGTCAGATCCTGATGACAGAGGAGGGTGGGGAATTTCTCCTAGAGGTGCTGGATACACCTTTGGTCAGGATATTTCAGAAACATTTAATCACTCTAATGGTTTAACACTCGTTTCCCGTGCTCATCAATTGGTTATGGAAGGCTATAACTGGTAACATGCTACTTTTATAGACAACTTTTTCACAGCATCTAAAACATAGATGCTAATTTTATTATTTTTCATATCATAGGTGTCACGATCGCAATGTTGTGACCATTTTTTCGGCACCTAATTACTGTTATCGCTGTGGTAATCAAGCTGCAATCATGGAATTAGATGATGCTTTGAAATATTCATTGTGAGTGAAGTGATATAATGAATGACACTATTGTCTTATTTTTCTAGAATAATAAGGAATTATTTTATTTATATTTGTAGCCTTCAATTTGATCCAGCACCAAGACGCGGCGAGCCACACGTCACCAGGCGAACGCCAGACTACTTCCTGTAAAGTGTCAAATCTAAAGGGAGTAGATATTAAGGTAGGGGAATGGATTGATGCTGGCTTTATAAAGATGCCACAGAACATAACCTATAATAGAACATCGGTATGAGTGTAAGGCCCCGAGCTACCCTTACACGCCATATATAGTCTCAAGTATTATATAATGGCTCGCGTTATGGTGTCTCCTAAAGAGACTAATTGCGCGCTCGCGTGTTTGCGCGTGAATACACCATACACGTAGATTCAACAACACTTGTACACATTAAGGAGATAAAAGAAAAAAGAAACAAACCAATAATGTACACATGTACCAAGTAAATTCACCTAAAAGCATTGAGTTTGACGATTTTCATTATATGGCTTGTATTTTTATTGAAGAAAACGATTATGGACACAATATTAATATGTAACCGTTATTTATAAAACGGCCGAAAAAGATAAGCGACGGTAATGTTCTAAAACCCTGAGTGAATGTTAACTTATTGAGTGATTAAAAAAATTTGCTGGAGGGATACGCGTCATTTTCCTAATTGTACTGCAAAGATGACTATAGTCGTTGACGGTTATGAAATGAGTATCAAAATGAAAAAAAAATATCTGTATTTAAGAATATCTCGCGTTCTTACTGGTGTGAAAGAAGCGTGAATTGTTTCTCCAAGCAAGAGCATACCGAGCGTGCAAAATGAGGGTTGATGCAACAGTGACTTTCACCCCATGTTTTTGCCTGTGCTTTATATATGGCATTTGATAACAATGAAGTTCATATTCATTACTGCTTGTTTCTTACGATTGTCAAACACAGTGTTCTTAGAGCTTATTGGGTGGTTTCTGTCAGTCCCTGTATCATTGAAAAAAACAAACATTTACGACATAAATCGGAGTCTTAGTGGACCATGCGTTTTCTCTAACCACGTTTCATTTCGATACATTTACTAATGTGTAAAAATAATAATTGTCGGATCGAATTTATTTAACACAAAAAGAATCATCGAATTTTATACTTTTTTGTCCCTCTTTCTATCTTTCTTCTACCATTAGAGAAATAAAGGAAGAGTTTAATGAGAAAATACTTTTTCTACTTACTTAAGAAATGGTTTTTTTTAATGTACCAATACGCACCTTTGGCATTTACTTTATTTGTCTTATTATTTTGTGTTACATCAGATTTTTATTGCGTTTCAACTTGTAAGTGAAGTTTAGATACTTCTGTCTGAAAAAATTTGTACCTTTTTATCTACTTTAAGACCTCGAATATTATATATATATATATGAATCGCCGAAACGAAGGATACTAAGACGCGTCGTGACACTTTTGCATCAATCCCTGATAAATAGTACTTTTCGATAAAACAAAGAAATAACATAGCGCACCTGATGCATTAAATCACAATAAGTATGTTGAAAGTTAAATGATGTTCTTAATGAAACTGAGCTTTTTACTGATTTAAAAATAAATTTAAAGCTAAAGGAAATGTTTCAGACGAATAAACACAAATCTGTAAATCAAGCCAAAATGAACTAAATTTGTTGTGTCAAATGATTTGAATATTTGTATATGATCTGTTTTTTTCTGTGCGATTGAACCCAAAGTTAATAAAGCGAAGTAATTAAAACAGAATTAAAATGAAAAAAAGAGCTGCAGATGTATTCTTAGATTTAAGTATACAAATTAAACATTATACATAATGAATCAATACTGAAATAGCGCTGCTAAAAAGGTGGCTTTCTTAAAAACCCATAACGTAATGAAGTGCCGAGGCGAACGCGAACGACGTGACGATACAAATGTAGACCACATGTAGTAGCAATTTGTCAAGACTGTGAATCGGTGAATTCAACTATCTACGAGACAATTTTTTAACTCAAATTTTGCCCAGTCCCCCTTTTCAGACATATTTACCATAAGACGTTGCACTTCTTTTTTTTTTTTTAATTGTGAATTCGTTATGTATATCTGATCACGGAACGCCTGTACTTGCTCTTGGGAAAGTTGAATGGATTTATACAGAAACATAAATAGCAAGCAAACCAATAAAAAATGAATAAAACCGAAAAGTAACAGTTCCTTTGACTTCGACTTTGACTTTTTCGAATTTTACTGCGTACTTATTTATTTGTACGGACTTTCAGATAAGGGCTTTTGCAAAATAGCATAATTTGTAACGATTAATGGAATCAATCTAAATTTACATGCCGAGAATTTACATGGTCATTGAAACACACGCGTATTTCAATGTACACTTCTGTGTACTTCTATTTGACTTTTTACATATAGCTCACGATTATACGCGACGAGAAAGGACAAAATTTCGCGTTCTAGAAAACTCAAACATAAAACAAACTAATTAAAATCATATAGTATAAACGATAAGAATCGAATGAGTTGTCTAGCAGTATCACATTATGAATGAAAAATGTCATAGACACTTAGAAATTGTATAGCTAATTTTGTATTTGCTCTGTATTTACTATATTCACGAGTACTTTTACGCCAGACACGCGAACACCTATTCGAAGGAGTAAAAGGGGCGCACTTTAGTCGAAAAATCTAATCAATAAAAGAAAGCTAACGGCACGCTGACGAGAGTAATGTGTAGGACGTGAATCGTAATATCATTCTTCATTTGATGTCGTCATATCCTTTATTTGGGAGACTCGTTTCTTTCGTTTGGCAGGCGTCCGTTGTAAAGCAGACAGCTTTGATATCGACGAATCGCGTTGTAGCGAAAGGTATAAAACAAAATAATTAAAATAAAAAAATGCTTCGCCCCCCTTTTTATAAGAAGAAACACAAAGAGAGAAAGTGAGATACAATACGCGAGATTTTCACGAGAATTAACAAAAAAAACCGTATTAGCGAGCAAGTTGACTCGAACACGCCCGGCAATATTTGTTATATTGAAGAGAAAAAGAAAAAGTTAAAAGGCTGAAGCAACACGTGTCACTTTTTTCGTAACATTCTTTTTTTTCGGCATATGAATGACAAAGACGTTACCGACGCGTTTGACGAGGTAGGAATGCGAGAGCGTCGAAATTGAAAAGGAAGATTGTAAATCTAGAATGCTGTCAAGCTCCGACAATAAACACGTAACATTTGAAATTCATAAGCTTTTAGAGAGAGATTGTCCCGAAGCTAAAAATGAAACCATTGAGAGCATTCGATTAAAAGGCAATTTTAGACTTTTCTATGGTCAACGCAAGTTATATGCGAATATTGTCTGCGCTTCGTCACATATTGTATACCATAAATTTGCTTGTTCATTACGTTTCTGGGAAATTCTAAAGAGGGAGAGAGAGAATTCTCAGTTGCACTCGGCAAGCGTGTCTAATGTGTGTTCGTAGCAGTCAACTTGCGCTTGCTGCCTTTCAAATGGCAAGATTTTTTTCTTCTTCCCCTTGATAATCACAATAACTGAGTTATTTGCGTGCGGCTTGCCGTTTTACGCCGGGCCGTACTACATACCGTGGCATTCGTGACCAAAACAAATCATGCATTCAACGTGAATTTTACAATTAAATAATACATATGAAGTAAGCGATAATGCTGCTCTGCTGAATCTGCTGAGTTTTGTGTCATCGTATCACAGTGAGACGAATTTAAATACAGTTATTGTATTTCGATGCGAGTGTTGGTCCCTCATCTTCGAACTTTTGATTCTTTTAATTTTCAAACCATTATCAGATTATTCGAAAAATGGCAAAAAATAAATAAAATACAATAAAAATTATACTAGTTGTTCTTATTCCACTTGTCAGCCTCTTTATTCTTTTTACAATTTTCTGTATCAAGTACAAATATATTCTGCACATTTATGGTTTATAAAAAAGTATTAAAATGTTAAAACATTCTTTGAGATTTACTTCAAGAAAATATTTATCAGAGTTCCAATCCATTAACTTAATTTTTAAAATGATCCACGCAATGTGTTGAAACTATAAAAAATATTTTCTTATAAGTTATGGTAATTTATAAATATTGATACATTATTATAAATATATTATTTTTTCTTTACAGATATAATCAAACCACATTTGCTTTCATCAAGCGAAAGCTTTTCTTACTTTATACATTAAAATTATAGTTATCTTCAGTTCATTAATTAATTTAATTTATAAATTTAAAAAGGTTTGAAAACCTATCATAGCTAGTTTTAAATTCTATTTCCCTACCAAATACCTTATTATGAGACACCTTGTTAGGTACGTTCAACAAAGTTAAATACAAAATAACAACTGCTTTTAACAATATCAAAATTAATTAAGTAAAATTTTCATATTTTCATTCCAGTATCCAAATCTAATAATTGTTTCATGACTTCATAGGTAGCGAAACTTGTAGCTACCATTGGAATAGCTCTCAAATAATTAATACTCATTCCTCTATACAGTCCTTTTATTATGCCATTTTCATTATATATCATTTTTAATGTAGATAGCATGCCAACACTGAAAAAAATGATAAAATAATTTTTTTTAAATTATACATTTTCAAACTATTAAATATTCCATCATCAGAAACATAATTTGAAACTTAAAAACTTTTGATTGCATTATACCTATATTTATGAGTATCTGGATTCATCATAGCTAATTGCATCCGTCTTCTGGTAACATCTAATGGATATGAAAAACTTTGTGCAACTGCTCCAGCCATACCACCACATAATAGTTTGCCAGGAATTGTTAATACAAGGCCACCTAATATAGCATTAAAAGTTTTGTGTATATAAATGTAAAATTATTGGATAGCAATTCAGATAATATTTACCAGTATTTTTATCACATTTGTTACATAATACAGTTGGAAAATATTTCATACACAAATATTTAAGCTTTTCAAAAGAATAAAATGAGAAACCAGCATATGGTACCATACCACATAGAGTTGGTATGAATCCTCGATATAATGCTCTAATTCCACCCTCCTAAAATAACAATAAATATTTCTTTATGTTTTGGTTTTAGACAAAAAACTTATTTTATAAAATTTGCTACTAACATCTTTAAATATTGAAACCGCAGTGTGAACGATTCCAGTATAAATGTGCTCTCCAGTCACTTGAAAGGCCAGTCGTGCTCTTATTGTATCAAGAGGATAGGTAAGTGTCACAGCTGTCACTCCTGCACAGGAACCAGCAATGAATTTGTCTGCATGTGTTTTATTTCCTAATATTTTACCTAATGACTAGAAATTATTATTGAAATTGTTAGTTTCATAATGCTAATATTGTGAAATCAATGTAAAGTAATTACAATTAATTTTGCTGACCTTTTTATAAATTTCAAAAGCTGTAAACTGTGTGGCTGCATATGGAAATATCCTTACCATTTGAGCAAAGTTTCCTTTGTAGAGAGCAAAGAAATGCTCTCGATAGATAATTTCTTTCAGACCAGAAAACACTCCTGTACAATAAAAACTTCTGTCAGTAGTTAATTAAATCAAACGTAATTAAAATTAATTATATGTGGAAAAATTACCTAAATGCTTATAGTGATGACTGTGAGCTTGAAGAAGAATTTTAATTCTATCTAATGGAGCAACAGTTGTCTTTGAGCACATCCCAGCAACTCCTGAGAAAGTTGAGTAATTCCATCAATGGAATGAAATTTCCACACATTAACATACATTCGAAAGTCCGTTGTAATCGCTCACTGGCGCGATAAGTAACACACAGGTAATTAAAAAAAAAAAGACAGAAAAGTGTATTTATTCGATGAAAAATGTATAGTTAAAACGCACCGCCAGCAATGAAGTTCTTGATGACGAACTCAACATTCTTATTAGGGGTTTGGACGCTGACCGCAACCGTCGACATGGTTTCACTTTTTGACCTGTCTGGTTCTCTCACCAAAGGAATGCCGTCCGTGATTGTTGGCTGCGGCTCGCTGACTGTTTGTACGCATACGTATCGTACGTACGTTTAGAAAGCAAAAACGCGGCGCGCGCGTGCGTCGGGAAGAGCGCAAGCGAACACGCGCTCTCCAGAGAAAGAGAGAGTGTCCTGGAATGAAAGTCAGTGACCTTGACTGTATACTGTCTCTTCTTCGTAGTAAGCCCAAGGCAGAGCCAGCAGCGGCCGGGCAAGAGTGGTACTGGGCTCCAATTTCGGTTACATAAATAAGTATTGTCCGCACTTTACACTTATTATCGCATTCCGGCAATGTCACGGCTGAATATCACTAATCTCTGATCAGCTGTGTCCAAGACAAAGTCCAACTTGAGCAGCCGACGGAATTGCGAATCCCCTCTACGAAACCTCATTCATGCTCCACCAATCGCTACCAGTCGCTACTCGAAGTCTCTCATGCTTGGCACTACCGCTGAGTACCACAGCATAAATAACAATTCTAACTTTACTGTTATCAGAGCTTGATTAAATCTTATCTTTTTTACAATTCTATCATAATGGTAATTGGCAGTAAATACTGATGAAGCTATAAAAAATCCAAAGATTACATTGCAATTTAAACCCGCAAATATCTATACGAAATCTCAAAAATAATCGTCACTGTCGTCAGTAGTAGATACGGCACTGACTTCCACGTGTATGCGCTTTAACGTAACCTATATATTTTATAGTGCCGATAATTGACAGATCATTGGCAAATTGGGTAAGGATGACAAGCTCAGCGATGACTCAAAAACAGCAAAGAAAGTCTCTTTCGGCAAAAAAGGGTCCAATAAAGGGTTTAAAGAATGTTTTGGCTAACCCCCATGAAAATTATTGGTATAACCTTAGCTCTAGTAAACAATCGAATTTCCAAAATTTAAAATAAATTAATTGTTGTTTACATACTTTTAAAGGCCTCTTCTAAAACATGAGCGTGGTGCAGCTTTAAAAAATCTTTTGAAAAGGTATTAAGTATATAAATATGAATTTAATGTGCATCTCAAATGATTAAAGTATTCTTATATTCTAAATGTTTTATCAAGATTATTGCCAGTGCTAAAACGTACGGAACAAAAAGTTCCATGGGGTCAGCTACGCAAGCTGAATAAAGAAGAAAGGCTTGCTGCTAAAAAAGCTGCTCAAATTCAATCCAATGCAGAATATGATGCAGAAATTGCGTAAGAACAACAACTTATTGAATTACAAACTTAGGCTAATTTTTTTCATTGTTTTTAGAAAATTCATTGTTCTTGGAATAAATGCAGTTACAAGATTGTTAGAGAAAAATAATACAAGCGTTATATTATTAGAAGCTGGTGTAGACCCTTCATTACTAGTAAAACATATCCTTGATATGGCTAAAAATAAAAATATTCCAGTTGTGCTTATACCTTTTTTGAAGGACATATCATTGGAAACTATTGGTTATACTTGTGCAGCAATCAGTTTGAAGGTATATAATTATTTTTAAGTGGTATGTTGTCATCAATAAAATTCAATTACTTATTAACTATTCCAGAAAGATGCAGAGTCTACAGATAATTATTTTTATGAGCTTTATAAAAAAATAAGTGAATTATCAGCAGAGTTACCAAAACCAAAGACTCTTGTTTCTTTATTTCACAATGAAAGTATACTTGAAGATAATGGAAATCAAATGAGAATCGAAACTATAGAGGAAGATGTTATAGCAACAAAACCTATTACAGTGTCAACTGATGTTTATTTATGTAGAACATCAAAGAAAGAAAGAGCTTTTGTACCAAATTATTCATCACATAGTAAACCAAATTTTGAAAATAAATGGACTGATTTTATAGCTTTAAATGACGAAAAAAATTATGTAGATCAAAAGAAAGTGCCTTCACGATTTTTTGGAAGTTTAGTTTCCGATAGTGACAAAAATGAGCATAACAATGATAGAATTCAATATTATAAAAGGAAGAAGACATTAAGTGACAGTGATGAACCATCGGCTAAAGTTAGTTATAAACCTCTGAAAGTAAAAAGATTACAAGGTGATCAGTCAAGAAAAAAAGCTACTAAAAAACCTAAAGTTAAAAGGAAAAAGTAACGAATGCAAGCTTTCTATAAATAAAGAATGGCATTTTTATACAAAAATTGTACACTATTTACAAAAATATTTTACATTTATATCTCTTTGAACTGTAATTCTTATAAATATTTCTGGAGTAACAATATAATATCAAATAGGTAATGTCGAACTAACTGAAGATTTAAACATTCTTGAAAAGAACATTAGTCCTGTTGTGCCACCTGGTATGTGACTAATTAGAAATGTCAACATTGCTATCAATTGGAGTACAGCACACAAAACAGTTAGTGACGTCGATTGTAAATGGAGTGCAAAGTATAATGTTCCTGTTAAAGAAATTATATAAATAATCGAAAAATATCTTCTTTCTGCTGAGAATAATGATTTTATATAATTCATTGGACCCCACAAAAAACCAAAACTGAAATAAAAAATTAGCAATTTAATTGGAAGTTGAACTTCGCTGTGAAATATTTTAAGAATCTTAAATCATTTTACCTTATTAAAAAAAATGTACTTCCTAATGTGTATAGTAGAGCAAATTTCCTAGCTTTCAGTAATAGCACAGGTATATAAATTGCAGATAAACAGAAACATAAAATACCCATAAAAAAACATACTCCAAATGCAGTCAGTCTTTGCATTCTCGTCTGAAAGAAAATGCAAGGATAATTAAAAAAAAAGTAGTTTCTTGAAGTTTTTGAAAAATAGGATAAATGTTATAGATAATTTATGTATTAATTTATCGAAAATAAAAAGAATTATTGTTTCTCAAAGTATTTCTGAATGTATATACTAACCATACTAGGACAACAATCTCGTTTTGTTTCATTGAGCCATGTCGACTCATCTCTGTTTTCTTCTGAACTTCTTCCAAGCCATTTTCCTATATTTGGTTTAGGTATTCCTACCGTAGGCAGTGTAATTTTATATTGTTTTTCATTTTTATTGCTAAGGAGATATTCGTTTAATTCCTTGTTTAGATCGGCCATTTTGACACGTAAATGTCATCTGATATGTTTATAAAAGCAGTCGGTAAAGCAACAAACTACTTCATCGTGAATATGTAATTCGAAACAACTTTTAAAGTATATTACTTGATAAAAGAGTGCCCTTGTATAGATCGATCCAAAAATTGATTTTTTAATTTAAAATTGTATAGTGAAGTTCAAAGCAATTGATCTGCTATATAGCAAGTTTTGCTTTAGTAAAGGCGTCCCTCTGACTACAGTTTGAAAATTCTTCATTAAATGGGATAGAGCAGATGTTCTTCGTCTAGTATTCGTGTACAGATTTTGGAGCATCGATGTAGGTGAGCAAGTGTTATAGAGCATAGGAACATTCATTTCGAAGAGTTTTACAACAGTTGATAATAAAAGAAACTGAGTTATTTCTATTCAGTTTCATTTATGCTCGGAGTAGTTCACAGTTTTATGTCCAGAATGCCTTCTTCTTCGAAGGATGAACACGAGAAATGTTTGTTTTAGAAAGGTCCAGTAGACGTGCAGCTGTCCATAAATAAAAGCCGTAAAAAAGATTACGATTACGTTACTTTCATATTCGAATTTATGTATAAAAATTGTGACGTAAAAAAACTTTTTTTATTATTTTAAATTAATAATAAAATTTTTTAAAAGTTTCAAGCTAAAATATTTAATGTTTTAAGAAACAATAATAAAATTAATATTCCTTTCTAGTCATTTATACGAGTGTGCCCTCTTAATATATAACAATATTGAATGTAAAGTAAAATGTAAATTTTGAAAAAAATTATAATATTGAAAATTCACGTTAAAAATATGAAATAAAAAAACATGGTATCTTCATAGAAATGGTTCAATAGATATTTTCCGAACAAAATAGAATAAATCTATAAAATCATTCAAATCTACAAAGATGTCAGAAAGTTTATTTCGACAAAAATTATTATGTTAATGCTCTGCTTAAGAAAATGGAGAAAAAAGAATAATATAAGTATTGTATAAAGACACAATAATAATATGAAGAGGCAAAATATTAAAAAATATAAAAGTTTTGTTAGGATTTTCAAACTTACATTTATTTAAACAAATCAACATTGACCTCATATTGTAGGTTGTATATCGTACCGTTTACATAAATTGTTATGCATTGCTCTACCTCGCAGAACAAATATTCCCTGCATCACACCGCGTCGTTCGTTATCTTTAATCATATTTTATTTTTCTTATTGTATTTGTTTGTTCATTAATATCATTGTCAACATCTTCATTATTGAGTTGAGATTATCACGAAACATTCGAGGGGGCATACAATCGGATACCGATTTTATTCATTCTCTTAAAAAGTAACGATAATATTACCAATGCGGCTAATGCTGGAAACTAAATGGTAATAAGGTCAATCAAAAGGTTGGCCAAGTCTAACTCGTCAATGGCACTATTTGAAAAGGGAAATGACAAATGAAAAACAGCAACTGAACAACTAACGATGAAGTCTCTAAATAAAGGTTGACAATAAGTATATGCATATCACGCAATCGCAACCAATCAGTCAATCAATCGATACAATATAATATAACAAAGAATCACATTTGAATACCAGCTACGCTTGGTTTATTTTGCTGTCCCTTTTTTCCTTGTGATAATTATAATACTATGGTTCTATGAATTTGGATTTGTCGTAATATCTTGCCGAAATCGTAGCTAAATTTGAAAGCAGACGAGATGGGCTAAATCGTCGTCGCCACCTAAATGATCAGCGGGCTGCAAAGGAATAACGCAGATTTACGTGGGCTTTCAAGTTAATATTACTATTGTATGTAGGTGTTGTCGGTTGCGTGTCGCGGCGAACGACGAGCCGTGCAGTCGTCATCGTCCGCGTCGTTCAACTACGTTACGCTTTGACTACTCTGTCCTTAGCTTGCTGGCGCATTTTCACTCGCTTTCACGCTCTCTTGCACTTTCTCCGCTCTCTTTCACACTTGTCTTTACCTCGCTATAAGTATACATCATCACGCCACGCGAGCCTGTGTGCGCGCGCGCTAGTGAGTGTGTGTGTGTGTGTGTGTGTGTGTGTGTGTGTGTGAGTTACGCTAATGGCAGCAGCATGCTAGCAAAATACACGTCGTATTCGCTCCCTCGGCCTGCGCGACACTCGCGCGCTCTCGCTCGCTCCTCGTCGTCGCTTATAAAAATTAAAATTCAATTTCCTAAGTACAGTACATTCTGGTTGTTGGCTCTGTTCTCGGCCCGCGACGTTCGCCGCGCACGCGACCTGTCGGCGGCACGCGGGTGGGGGGGTAGGGGGGGGGGGGTGCTTTTCAATCTCCCGTCCGCGGCATCCGACAGCACTTTCGCTCGGCGTCGATGCTTTGCTTCGATAAAAAGCTTTCATCCAGCCGTCTCCGCGGGCCATTGATTTTCCCTCGTTCTCTCTCTTTCGCTTCTTTCAAATACTCGCGAACGTACGCGAGCCTAACAATCGATTCCAACAAGCACGCTCTCGCCACGCAACTCGAGCGAACCTCTCGTTCGTTCGTGCGCTTCCGAATGGACCGACTTTATACGCACAATCGTCCACATGGCACACGAGTTTTATCTTTGTTATCTCTTCATTGGCGCACGCGAAGTGATTGCGAATGTCACGGCAGAAAATGTGACGTTGATTAATCGAGCGAGGTCTCTTCGCGCTCCCCGCACTTCTCTCCTCTTGCTCGCGAACTCGGCTCGTTCGTCTTCGCTTCCAATTTGTTTTTTTGCTGTTGTTCGCGGTATTTTTTTCCTTCGTGTGTGTCAATGCGTGAAGTGTCGAAAATCTTACAATGGCTCGCGAACTTATGTACATACTTGCCGCTCGATACAAGAAGAACAATATTCATGGTTGCTTTCTTTTGCGATGTTGCAGCTTAAAATATATACTTATCGGCTAGGGGGAGGGGCAACCGTATTAATAGATATACCTCATCGGTAAATGAACGCGTAGCGTATAGAATGTAGAAAATACGAAATATTGCGCCTTTTCTCTTAATAAAAGGTGTGACGATGCTTATCTTCGATCGTGCGGCATTACACTTTCTTTCAAGACCTTTCGTATTTTTACAGCTTTATTTTAATCGTTAATCAATACTTTGTTTTCATTCAATTGAGGAGCGATCTGCTCCCGCGTCTTGACGTCATTCATTCCGAAAAAGATCATTGTCTCCGGTCGAAATCGCCCCCGTTAATCGTTAATAAAATTAATCTTTTTCGGCATTTTTCTTTAAAAAAAGATACGGCAATAGTACACTATTATTATACACGAAACGTGTGTCAACATTTAACTTGCTTTTTTCAATAGGCGCATTACAGCTAATCGATTTTATGATTGAGTCTCGGTGAATCACACGAAGGAGTAAATTTTAGTAACGATTAATCACAACATATTCTCATTTGAGCACTTGATTTCTTTGCGTTCGCCTACTAGCCTATACATATTTCTCTATAAACTTCAACTTCCAAATATTCCCATTTTTAATTTTTTTCATGTCCTTTATTATTACTTGTCGGTACAAAATAACTTTGACGAATGATTGCATTTCGAATACTCGTAAGTGTGTCGGGTGGTGGGTGCGAAAGTGAGAGGTGAAGTGACCGTGATAACGGGAATCGTCGGCGAAACAAGGGAAGAAGTCGGATAATGACCGAAGAAAGATGATGAGAGCAAGGAGAGAGAGAGAGAGAGAGTAGAATTAAATGCATATCTCTGTGACGATCGAGAAATTGGTCGATCAAAGTTTGCCGATATTTGCTTAAGTACATATGTATAATTATTGTGTCAATGTATCATATATAAACGCGCATAATCAACAAACGAGGCTTTTGTCGCCCTTAATTATTCAGTCTACAAAATAATTGGGTGGAATGACGGGCTCGTTGGGGAATGAAATAACGAGCCGTATATCACTTAGCTACGTGTTTAGATTGACTACTTATACGTACGATAATGAAAAAGGGCAGAGAGAGAGAGAGGGAGAGAGAGAGAGAGAGAGAGAGAGAGAGAGAGAGAGAGAGAGAGAGAGAGAGAGAGAGAGAGGGCAAGGTTGCTCGAGCACGCAGACGGGCAGCAAGTTTCCGCGAGGGGAAGCTGGCTCGTTGCGTTCAACTAGTCAGACCCGATGCGCTAGCTCGCCACTATTGTCGTTCCCCGTAAGCGATCGGTCAACTATTCACGTAACGTTAATATTGCACGCGCCGGCACTGAGAGGCAGTCTCGCTCTGGAGCCCGCATCTCGCTCAAGTAAATTAGGTTTACGTGTGATGGGTGTCCTCTGTGGCGGTGGCGGTGGCGCTCGCCGGATCGTCCCGTGGCCCACTTGTCGTCCCTTAATGCAGACTACTTAGGAGCTAGACTCGTACTTAATCGCTAGCTAAGGTTATCGGTAAAATAATGCGTATCGTGGCTAAGGTGCGGGCGTGCGTGCGGGTGTCTCGTTGAAGCGCCCTGCCGACCCGCGCCGGCGCGCAGCCCCCGAGCGTCAGCGGCGTAGGCCCGTTCGTTGTCGGCGAATGCGTCGCAGCGTCAGACGGTGGTCACGTACTCGCGCAGCTCGGACTCGTCCTCCTCGTCGGGCGACCAGGGCCGCCGCGAGCGCGAGGCGTCCTCGCTCTTGGCGCGCGAGAACAGGCCGCGCCGCGTGGACTCGCTGCGCGGGTTGTAGCTGCGCACCTCCTCGCTGAGCGAGCGCTTGGCCAGCTCGGCGTGGCGCGCCGGCGGCTCGAGCGCGAGCGCGCTCGCGCGCAGCAGCTGCGGCCGCCGCGGCGGTCGGGCCGGCAGGGGCCCCTCGGGGCCGGACGCCGCCGCCGCCGCGCGCGCCAGCTGCTCCGCGTGCACGCTCGAGCGCTTGCGCTGCTCGGGGCGCGCGGCCTCCTGCGACTTGGCGCGCGCCGCCTTCTTGCGGCCGACGCGCGCGCGCAGCGTGGAGCGCTGGCGCAGCGGCGGCGCCGGCGAGGCGGCCGGCGAGACTGAGGGCTGCGGCGAGGGCGAGGGCGAGCGCCGGGCCAGCGACTGCTTGCGCAGCTGCGCGGCGGTCACGGTGCTGGCGTCGTGCGGCGACCAGACGGGCGTGGACAGGTCGGCCGGCGGCGGCGGCGGACTGCGCGGCGGCGACTCCTCGCGCCAGGCGCCCTGGTAGATCGGGAAGCAGGACACCTGGTTGAGCATGCGCATGCGGAAGCGCTCCTCCTCGTTCAGCTCGTCGGCGCTGGGCTCGGGCGGTGGCGCGCGCGGCGGCGTGATCTTGTGGAAGTCCTCGGGGCCGTCGGCCGTCTCCTCCTCGTCGCTGCTGGTGGCGCGTAGCTCGGCCAGCCGCGGCTTGGGCCGGATGGGTGACTCGTCGCAAGGCCGCCACTGGATGTCGCTGATCTTCTTCGTCTCGCGCTTCCTGATGCCCACGGCGGGCAACGGCGAGTGGCCTTCGTAGGGCGCCCACTTGGCGTCGCGCAGCTGCACGTCCGCGGAGATGAGGCGGCGCACTACGCGGTTGTCGGTGCGCAGGATCTGGTCGGGCTCGGGCGACATGCTGCGGCGCACGCTGTACTTGGGGCGCTCCTTCAGGCTCTTGCTCTTGGCCTCCTTCGAGCCGGACCAGCGCTCCTCGCGGCGCTCGGCCGGCAGCGAGAAGTGCGGTTTGACAGCCCACTTGGAGCGGATCGCGCGTCTGGCCTCGCCCAACTGGGCCCGCTCCCGCTTGCTCGCCTTCTTGGCGTCGACCCGCTCCTGTTGCTGCTGCTGCTGCGGCGGCGGCGGGGGCTCGGGCTGTGCCTCGGGCTCGGGCTCGGGCTCGGGCTGGGGCTGCGGCTGCGGCTGTGGCCGCGGCGACGAGGGCGCCGGCTGCTCGGGCGACAGCGAGGCCCGCTGCTGGCGCCTGCGGACGGACTCGCCGCGGCGCCGCATGGGCGGCAGCTCGGGCGTGAGCGAGCGCACGAGCATGGGGCTGGGACGCCGCGACTCGGCGCTGCCCGAGGGCGAGGGCGAGGGCGTGAGCGAGAGCGCGCGCGGCTGCCGCGGGCAGGTGCAGCGCTGCCTGGGGTTGACGTGTAGCTCGGGCACCTGCAGCGTCCACTTGGGCTCGCGGTCGTGCATGCGGCTGTCGTCGCTCAGGTGCTTGCGCAGGTCGTACTCGGCGTCGGGCCGCAGCGACCACTTGTCGCCCTCGGCACTGTGGTGCTTGCGCAGGTCGGGGCGCTCGGGGTGGCGCTTCTCCGAGCCCGGCGTCAGGCTGCCGCCGGCGACCGCGGCGTGGCAGCCGCAGCGCGCGCGGCTCGTCAGGTTGACGTCGGTGCGCGAGGTGTGCATCTCCCAGCGGATCTCGGCGCCCTGGCTGGCGTGCTTGCGCAGGTCGCGCAGCGCGTCGTCCGGCGACAGGAAGCTCTTGTACTTGCGCGACTCGCCACGCTGCAGCAGCTGCTGGCGCTGCTCCGGGCCCAGGGCGTCTAGGTCCTCGATGGTGTAGCAGATCTCGAGGCGTCGCCGTCGGCCGCAGCCCTGACAGGCGGACAGCTCGTCGTCGGTCTCATCGGCCGAGGCGCCGGAGGCCTCCGAGCCCGGCGTCGACTTAGATGTCGAGGGCTGCGCCGCGGCGCTCGCTAGGTCAAGCTGCGTGGGCCGTTCTAGCTTTGGCTGCTGCTGCTGCTCCACCGGCGGGGGGGTCTGCTGCTGCTGCTGCTGCTGCTGCTGCTGTGTCGGGCGGCCATCGTCAGAGGGTCGTGACGTCGCAGCGCTGCCTGGCGATGCGCACCAGCAGGTGGGTGTAGCTCCGTCAAGCTGCCTTGGTTGGTACTGCGACTCCGGAGACAACGAGGTTACGCTCGAGGCCGTTTACAGGTAGATTACTCCTTTCCGTTGCTCCGTAGGCCTGCCAACACACAGCCATCGTCAAATCTCGGACCCCTTCCGTCTCGCCTCCTTCGCCTCTCGCTCGCCCTACTATTATTTACATAACATTATTTACGTGCGCATAGTCGACTACTCTGCCGTTAACGAGGAAACCGACAAAGTACTTGTCGAGTTTCAGTAGTATAAGTCGATTTTTGTCAGACACGTCTGACTCGATAAAACGCGAATGTCTGCTTTTTCTAAATTTAGTCCCGAAACTCTCATCGAATCGATGTTCTCTTTGCAGGATACACTTTTATAATGAGTATTCTCCGATTATGTTTGACAACATATCTGACATCAATAAGCGAATGAATCCACTAGCTATCGTAATATCTGGAAACGCCTGAACTCTACAACGCAAAAATGAGTTGATGGAATCGTGGAATTTTTTATTTTGGTGGAGTGGGTAGTCGTCGAATCATCTGGCAGCATGCAAGTCTTCGATAGAAGGAAAAACGGAGTACTTGTGCTGGTAAAATTTGCAAATTGAAAGCCGCATCTACGAGTGTGAGTCGGGTGAACACGACTTCTTCTTCTAAGTCAGAAGAAAAGGTGAGGCTCGACGGTGCGATAGAATTAGAAAGGATGATTGGCGCAACGTGCCTTTAGTTCGGAGAAGATCTCGGTGAAGTAACCGGGCTCGCTGTTGATGCGCAGCATCTTGGAGCTCAGTCGGTTGACGATCAGCAAGCACCTGTCCCAGAATTTGTCCTTGCTGTCCTCCACGAGGAAGGGCTTCAGCGGGTAGCTGATCTCGTTGCCCATGTAGCTGTACGACAGGTACAGGCAGGTCAGCACTGTCGCTTGCAGCTCACGCTCCGACGCCTCCTTGCCGTCCACCAGTTCGCGTACCAGCATGTACACAAACACCACGTTCGCTGGGTTGATAAACGCTACGTCCTGCAACAGACATCGCAACATTCGTTTCAACCCTACTCCTCGGCACTGTCCTTCTTAAGTTTCGTTGAGAAATTTCAAAGCACGACGACAAAAAAATCCTCGAGCAGCTATCAGCTCGTTACAGAAGAAAGGAGAAAATTAATAGAAAAACTTTGTCCACGAAATCGCATTAGTTTTCATTGAGAACGTTTCATGCGCAAGTTTAATTACTCGCGATGCCAACGGAATCGTATAGGCGTGTCACATCGACGCGGCGTGTATTATTAGTCGACATCGATAGAAATATAGAGCAACGATAGTTGAGCGTTACATTAACGGAGCGAGGCGCTTAATTAGGTCAACGGACGTATGCTGGGGTGGGTGAGGGGGTGAGTAGAGAATAAATAGAGCTCGTTATCTTATTAATAGAGTGCGTTCGCGCGGCAGAGCTGCAAAGAAAGGGACGCCGCGTCAAAAGCATGCGATAATAATGCAGCGTCAATTAAAGGGAGCAAGTTTGCAGCGTAACAGCTGATTTGCCGGCGATGATGTGCAAAAAGAAAAAGCAGAGCGTCCGTCCTTTGACAAAGTCCGCAGGCATAGCTTTGACCTGGATAACAATTCAATGAGAAGTGCCGGCGTTGCAAAACCTCAAGCACAACTCCCTCTCCTTGTGATACATACGAACGTCGACAATAGCGTGGCGCACAATTGATCCTCGGCATCCACTCGCCCTCTCACCTCCGTCCCGAGCCGTGTGTTTACTCGCTGGCACGAACAGCGATGTAGCGTAAGATCGATCGACAGTGGCCCTCCCCCGAACATGCTCGCGTATACGCACACGTATCGTGCGCGCGGAAACGTAGCCGTGCGAGCGACGAACGCGAACGGTTCTCTCGTGAAGCTCCAACGCGCGGCAACGTGCGACGGACGAGCTGCGACCCGTAGCGTCCGCCTCGGGAGCATTCCCATTGGCCTATTTCGCGGGCGACTCGATCCAAGGGAGGCGTCGCGACTTCCGCGAGTCTCGCGTCACGGAATATCGATGCCGTCCAAAGCGAGCGGGCGCAAGAGGCGCCGGGCGCGGGCTAATTAGTAGGGCGTGCTCGCGCGATATCGGCTGCAGCAGGGACGCCGCGGCGAGCCAGCGCAGGATCGATGACCCCGATAGCGCTCGGGCCGAAGCTCGCTCTGTCGCAAACCGCCGCCGCCGCCGCCGCCGCCGCTGCACTTGACAACTTGGCTTTGCCCGCGGCGCCTAAACGCCAGCTCGAGCGAGGGGTGGCTCGCGATCGGCCCTCGTCACGGCACGGCTATTAATTGGGTTTGGCGCGAGGAGCTTTCGTTGCCAAGTCGAGCCCCCGCGCGGACGGTCGGCCGAGAGTCGTCGGGCTCGGGACAACGAACCGTCTGGAATTAGCCACACCCTCGCTAATGCGAGCGTCGGCCGAACCTGGCCGCGCAAAAAGGACGCGTCGCGCTCTGTCGCGAGCACTCTCGCGCCGACTCGCCGCGCACCGACCAAGGAGAACAATCGGCGCCCGCGAGAGCTCCTTTCGAGTGGCCCTTCGCAGGATCGATCCGCGTTTTATTGCGGCGAGCGAGACTTGTCTCCCTCGCACGCCAAGGGCCACCACGCCGCGCTAAGCTTAACCCCTGGGCTTGCGTAGCAGCGAGCCACAGCGAGCAGTGGTGAAAAAGCGCGGCTCAACGGAAGGAGACTACGGCTGCGCGCGAGCGTAGTTCTCCGTCTCGGTCGTCAAACGGGCCACCTGCTTACGTGCGTATGCGCTAGCGAGCGCTCGAGCCGCGTTTTAATTCCATTACAAGTAAGCCGATTCCGCGCTTCTTATCTTTCTTTCTTTCTTTCTTTTCTTTAAAAGTCTGCCTAGTGCGTCGTTGCGTTTCCAAACGGGCTTTCGATTTTTACACGGCCGGCTTGGAACGTCCTCGCTTTAATTATGCTGCGTTGAGAGAAATGACGCGGCGCCTGACCGCTCGAAAACAGCTCTCATGTTAACATTATCATAACTGACGGGAATGGCTTAACCGATGACACTAATAGAATTTCGGTACAAGTGGAATTGCGTCAATACCGTACGAAATGTTTTGTGCACGTCAGAGAGTGAGAAAGAGAGAGAGAGAGAGAGGAAGAGAGAGAGGGAGAGAAAAAATAGTTATCAGGGTCAAAGTGGGTCAGAATCCATTTCACGGATGGTATATTTACGTAAGCTCGTGCGAGCGGAGATAATTGTTACGGCGGACAGGCGGAAAAAGCGCGAGTAGGGGAGATATGTACCCAGCGGAGTGGGGGACGAGCTTGGACGAGTTGTAAGCCGCGGGTCGATACTTACAGGGGGTGAGCGGCCCCAGCCTCTCTTACCGGAGTCCTGCAGCAGCCGACTGCAGGCTCGTGTGTTCAGGCCAACATTTCCAGCGTTTATATTAGTTGGCTGAGCTTGCCAGTTCGGGAGCAGATTCGACGACTTGGATTTGCCGGCTTAAACTCATCTAGGCAAATACTTTACTTTCGTAATTGCACCTCGTTTCGTCTCTCGCGAATACGTATACTTTCTCGTCATTCGTCTTCCGCGCTGGGTGCGCGGCCAGCCGATCTGATTTTTGATCGGAATTCTCAACTACAATACTCTCTCTCTCTCTCGCTCTCTCTCTCTCTCTCTCGAATTACGCGTCTTCTTCTGACGTGCACACTCTTTGAAGCGTGAAATTCGCGACCAAGTCTGCTGACACTCGTCTGACATTGGCTAATCGCATTATTACGCTGTTTTGGCTTCCTTACGAAAGACACGCGCGAGAGCGCGTTGGCGCTATTTAAATATACTCGCCACGCGGAAATAAGCTGCGTACGTACCTGCAGTATCGACGGTCGTCGTGCGGCGGATGTACGAGTTGGCGCTTTTTGCGCGCGTCAATTCAATTTCTCGCGGGCGACAGTTGTGTAGGCCGAGCGGATTATCGCGATCGCCGAAGCGGCCACGTGTTGCGCGTGTCCTAGTAATCGCAGGCGCTCGGCTGCGAGTCTTCCTCCTCCGAGTCGCGATAAGCAACAACGATGACGCGCACTGCTGTGAACTTTGGCGGCGCGCGCGGAGGCCTCGATAATACCGAGTCCTTGACGCTCGCCAGAGTCGCGCGGATCGAGTCTACATTCCAGATAAATCGTGCCTAAATCGCGCGCGAGTTTTAATTGGCTATTATTCGTCCTTAGCTTGACTTTGCGGCTGGTCATCTGGAGTTACTCCCACTAACGAACGCAATTGCTCTCTATCGATTTCATATTGTTTTCAAAAGGGTCTATGATTGCGAGACGCGTTGACGTCGAGTGTAATTAGCATCGCTGATAAAGGGGTTGTCGATTATTATCCCGAGAGCCGGCTAATATATACGTCAATTTAGCGGCTCTTCAACAGCAAGACAATCAGCGCAACCGTGATCTGATATTGATTTGCTGAATCCCGTATGAACGCACATGTGTAATTATCTGTTTGAACGATAGTATTAATCAACTAAATCAATTGGTGTAAATGCAATTAGAACAGTGGTAATCGATGGGCTTTGGCTATGAGGCTAGAAGGAACGATCGAGACCGATTGTCAAGGGTGACACACGAGTACGCGCGACTTTGAAAAAGTGCTTCGCGAGTGCACGCAGCACAAGTGTTAACCTTGACTGATTAGACGTAGGAAGAGGGCGCACGTGCGCGAGTTCTCTCATCGACGCCTCGTTATTTTCGCGCACTCTCAAATTCAACGGAACGCATGGCTCCCAGCGCGCCCGACGATTTGTCGCGTGTTTGTTCTGGAGATTATCCGCTGCTAACTCCCGAATTCCCCTTCCTTCTTCGTAGCGAAGTCTGCCGGCGCTATCTGTTTTCCCGACGACTTATCATCATTTCGCGGGTATTAGCTTTCCTTATCCTCACTTTGGCGGGCTGTATAGTCAAAGATTGACATTTGCTGTCCGTGCGTCGAAACGAATTTGGCTGGGCGAAGCAATTGCCGCCACTCGAGCCTTATTTGGTTGCGACAATTTACAAGCCGCGAGCTTCCGTCGTAATCCCCTTTGATCGGCCCTGGGTCGCGGAGTTAGTTAATAGTTCGCGCAAAAAGCGGAGCGTCGGTCGAGTTCGCGTGCGGCCAGGGCAAAGATGGCCTCCTTTGTTCAGGTAAAAAACAAGCCTGACCGCAGGATCTCGCGGCAAATCGATATCGCGCCGCGTCGCAGCGTCGCAGCGTCGCCGGCAGCGTAACGCGATAACGAAGCCCAGTGTGCTCGGAGCCTTCTTGCCTGCATCCGCCGCGCGCCTGCGTATGGCGTTGCGGTCTCGAGCCTTGGATCACGCGCGAATAGCTCGCACGGCCGAATCGCAGGTGCGAGCAAGGCGAGAGAACGAGAGACGCCGACGCCGAGCGGCAACGAGGCAACGGGGCAACGGGCGCGCGCATTCCGCGAGCGGCTCGCGATGTTTATTTGGTTTCCGTCTGCGGGCGCTCGTTTGATCGGGGAAGCCAAAGCAAAATCGACGGAGAGCGGGGCGCCGCGAGCGGACGATTGCTCGTCGACGCGCGGAAAATCGATGCGCCCCGCGAGGCTGCGACGCGAGCCACGCGCGAACGCTCGCTCGGCTCTGCTGCCCCTGTCCGCCGCGGCTACGCGACTTCGGCCCACGGCAAGCGTGCCGAGAGGAACTCGGTTGTCCGGCCCGGCCGGCTCGCTGCTGCTGCTGCTGCTCGCCCAACGACGCGCCTTTCCTCGCGAGAACTTGTCGTACCGGCATCCGAAGGAGCCCCGTCTCTCGGGGGACAAGTATTTCGCATCGGACAAGTGCTTTGAAAAGCGATAGAGCATTCGGGGTCTATAGCGGGAGGCGACCTAGCGTAGGTACAGCGAACCCACGTTACTCGGCGTGCGGGGCTGAGACGACGCGGTGAGTGGCGAGCCGAAGGCGGTCACGTGGCGTCCGAAAGCTCGCTCTCTCCTGCGTGCGCGCGCGTCCGCGGAGCTGTGGAATACGCGGTGGTAGCGTCGCCGAGCAGCTTAGCGCGAGGCTCGATACCGCCCCAGACTCGTGCTCGGCGGATTTTAATTGGAGAGCACCCCTGCTGACTGATGCTGCTGCCGCCGCCGCGCCGCTGGGGCGAGAGCTGAATTATGTACGGCCGGGCGGACGGCTGCAGGGGAGCGTGCCTCGTCTTTACTGCGTACTGCGCGCGCTATCGCAATATTGGCATTGCCACGGAATATCTAGGAGAATCCCAGTCCTGTTCGTTTGGTTGCGCGCGGCGCGCGACCCCTCGCCCGACCTTTACATTTTCGGTGTCGCTCTTGCCAAATAGCTTCGCTCGGTTTTTACGGCCGGCGGTAGGCTCCGCGAGCGACGAGACGCCGAGTGCACCGCAGTCGCGTGTCCAGTGGCAACGGCACGTCCTCGAGACTGTCGACAGCGATCGGCCGGAAGAGGAACGACGACTGGCTTGCGTCCGCGGGAAGCGAGGGCTAATCCGTTTACCGCGCATCGCGCGGGATATGCGTCTCCGCGGCCCGCCGCGTGACACATCGCGAGACCCTGCTCCCTGGCGCCTGTCGCCCCGCGTCCAAAGCTTACACGCCGGACACGTTTTTTGCCCCGACTGCGGTGATTCTTCTCTCTCGCTCTCTTGCGACGAAGCGCGATCGAAAGGCTGTAAATCGCGACACGTGCGGTCGACGGATAGTTAGCGAGCGCGTTGCGATCTTTCACCTCCGCGTCGAATTTCATCCGATTAATGGCTCACAAGCGGCATGGAGGGAGTCGTGGAGGGGATGAGGCGGCCGCGATAAATATTGCAAGCTCGCGCCACGTCGATAATATCGTTCGTCCGGGAGCGCTGCACAATGTATCGAAGGGATCGCCTTGGGTGTACGATGGACTCGCCTGCAGAGACAGCGTGGGAAAGAGAGAGAGAGAACAAATCTGCATAATCTACGGCGGGGGGATGATGAAACATCGCGGAGAGCATTTCGCTCGGAAAATTGAAGGCGGATCAGTGGCAATGGCCCGAAATAACGAAACGCGACGCGGAACGGGAGAAGAGACGGCGCGACGCAAGGGAGCGGTATTTTCGCGACGGCCATCGGACGTCGCCGCGCGGATTGTTGTGAACCGGAGCCAGCGAAGCGAGGCGCGGCAGCGGGCACCCGGTATAACGGTCAAGAATGGCCGCGACAGAGGGCGCGATCGACGCGAGGACCAATCGAGCGCGCGTTGGCTCGTCGTTGTTTACGTTCGCGCGGTCGAGCGGCAACTTACCTGCCAGCCCTGGAGGAGGAGGCTTCGGTCGACCGTCCTGAGCCACATGACTGCGTCGCCGGCCTGGAAGTCCCTGAGCTTGACGCACTTGGCGTGCAGGTAAACGCCGAGGCACTTGAGCAATTCCGAGGTGGAGGCTTGGATGACGGTCTTCCTGGAGGCCGGCGGCTGCGGCTTCTGCGCGAGCTTCTCGCACTGCGCACTGTGCTGGCTGTGCTGGTGGTTGTGGTGGTGGTGGTGGTGGTGGTGGTTGTTGTTGGAGACGGGCGGCTTGCTCTGCTGGTACGAATAAAAGGAGGTGTTCATCGGCGGACCGATCATCGATACCTGTATGATCGCCGAGGGAACAACCAATGAGCGTCGTCAATCGTGTGTCACTGGCAGCGATCGGTGCTTCGCTACGGCAAGCTTTCGCGCTGGACGCACGTGCGTGCGCGCGCGCGCCTCGCGCAGCCGACTAGCGGCCGATTGGCGCTACCGACCAGGGAGCTACGCGACTGCCTACAGGACAAGCGGATTGGGCTACCGACGAAGCGGCAACCCGGGAGCGCGGTACGCGCAGCGCGCAAGCTTCGTACTGACCTGCGGCGTCTGGATGTTCTTGTTCTTGTCGGTCACGGGTATGTTGTCGAGGGGCTGGCGGAACTTGATGTTCTTGTTCTTGGCGTTGTCGAGTTTCTTCTTGTTGTTGTTGACGGTGCTGAAGCGCTTCCAGGAGAGCGCGCCGATTATGAGCGAGTTCTTCTTGAGGTTCTTCTCCAGCGCGCTCTTCTCCGAGATGATGCGCGCGCTGTCATTGTTGTTCTGCGACAGGTTGATGTTGTTCTGCAGCAGGTTGTTGTTCTGGGCGTTGGGCGGCTGGTTCTGGTTCTGCGGGCCGGCGCCGAGCTGCGCGGCCGCGCTCTTGTTCTCGCGGTTTTTGGCGTTGTTCAGCTGCTCGTAGCTGTAGTTGCTGAGGCCGAGCTGGGCCTGGGGCTGCTGCGGGGGGCTGGGCGGCAGCACGCTGGCGCTGCGCTCGCGCGGGGTCAACGACAGCACGGTGCCCATGCTGCTGTCCTGCTGCGGGGTGGAGTGGCGGCGCTGCGGCGGCTGGCTAGGCCGCGGCCTGTCCTGCTCGGCGGCGGGCGGCCGCGGCGGGCTGTGGCTCGCGGCGATCCTCGGCGGCGCCGGCTGCGGCCTGGCCGTCGGCGCGGCGGCGGCCGCCTCCCGGGAGGGCCCCGTCAGCGGGCTCGCATCCCCGGGCTCGACGGCCTCCTCCACCACGGGACCCACCACCTCGCTCAGCCGTCCTCCCAGCCTGCTGCCGTGCGCGCGCCTCGCCAGCGACCGAAACCGCGCGCGCGCCCACTCGCTCAGCCGCCTCAGGCCGCCTCAGGCCGCTGCCGCTGCTGCCGCTGCTGCCGCTGCTGCCGCTGCTGCCGCTGCTGCTGCTGCCGCTGCTGCTGCTGCTGCGCCGCCCCGCCGACTGCTGGCCCGCGAGCTCGGCCGAGGATCTGCGCCGCGCCTCGCCTCCGCCGCCCGAAATGTCGGGACAAGATGGCGCGGCCGCCCGATCGATGCTCCCGGCGCTCGCCCGCTCGCCCGCTCGCTCGCGCTCTCCCGCGGACGTGCGCGCACTCCCCCGCTCTCCTCGCGCGCTCGCCCCGCTGGCCGAGCTGCAGAAGCTGCCTCCGCGGCCCTCCTCCGGAGCGGCGACGACCACGACGACGACGCACTCGCGCCGAGCTTGCGAGACTCTCGCTCTCTCCCTCTGCCTCTGCCTTGCTCGACGGGGCTGCGGAGCTTGCGATGGCTGACCGCGATCCCGCACACTGGCTCGCCCGGACAACTGAAGAGGTGCGGCTGTTGGCGCGAGCTCGTGTGACGATGCACTGGCGACGAGCGGCCGAAGGGTTGTTTTGACAATGTGCCGTGCGCCCGAGCTTTCGCGCGCTGCGCAGCCACTGCTTCTCTCTCCTTCTCCCGCCCTGCGCCGTACGCAGTGTGCACGCCGGCCTCCCTGCCGTGGCTAGCACTGGCGCTGGCGCTGGCGGCGTAGCACCCACCCTGCGCGCGCACCCGCTCGATAACGCTCTCCGGCAGCGCCGCCGCCGTCGCGTCGACGTCGGCGATGCGTACGCGAGCCGCGCGGGACACGCCGACGCGACTCGGCCCTTCCGCGACCCGAGGACTGCTCCCGCGGCGCGGATTTTCGCGGCCCCTCGCTCCGATCGTCGCGCGCGCGCCGCGAGCCAGTCGCTCGACTCGTTGGCGCGGACTGCGATTTCATCGACCGCGGCGCGGCTCGAAGGCCGACGGAGCCAGCTCGCGCGGGCCCGCTGGCTGCGTCGCTCGCCCGGCGAACGCGACAGGCGACTCGCGGACGATCGAGCGGAACGGCCTGCAACGACAGTTCGACGGATTCCGACGGCAGTTATCTTGGAGTGCTCGGCGAGCAATCGCGTTCCGCGGTGCGTTTGCTGCTGCTCGTCGGGGGAATTCGGCGATCGACGAAATCGATCGCGGGCCCCGCGCGATACGTATGCGTAACGAGGCGATCGCGTGCCCTCGCCACGCTCGCGACTAATACGCGAAAGAGCTGCCCCCCACCTGGACTCGACGATCCGTGTACTGCCGCTCGACCTCGATGCCCGACGACTTAATCAGCAGTTTCTATTTCGTTGCCCGCGCTTATCAGTTGTCGCGAGGTTGCGTTCGTATGGCAAATCTCTTCTCTCTCGTCCGGTTTCATTCACGGGCGTCAATCGTGATATGTTTACCTGTAAAATGCGTCCGCAGTTCGTAAGCATTCGATATTCCTCGTTTATACACGTCGAGTTATTAATTTTAGTCCTGAGCAAACAATTTCGCAACGAGGTCGAAGTAGAATGTGAGCAGTAATGTTGTTTTAGTGTCGAGGCAATGAAGTGGACGTTAAAACGAGCTCGTTATTCATTGCAGTGCTTCATTGTCGTTTCTTTACAACGGCCAACGAGGCCCGGGCCTAGGACCCCAGCAGGTTAACGACGGGTTTAGGCTCCTCGCAAAACTGAATTTCATTCGTTCTCTTTTAGTACATCCATTGTACAAACGTACAAAAATGCTTACATGCAAACAATAATAGGCTGGTATTTTATTTTAATAATACATATTTAATATATAAATAAATTTGGCATTGCGATTTCATTGCTAAATCATATTTACGAACGATTGCTAGAAGTGAAAAATATTTTTTCATAAAAAAATCTACCATTTCTTTCTGCGTACATTTACAGCGACATGAGAAATCTACATCGTTAAGGAAAATATAGTTAAAATATCATTGCAAAATTCATTTGAGGCTTTATCGTGTTTTAAACAGACACAGATGGGTATTTTCATGTAATGGTCCATAAAACTCATATTTTCGATAACTGTGATATTTAAATTTTTTCAAGTTCAGGTTTTAATCTCTTTTTAACACCACTTGAATGCTCTCTGACATGTTTATATTTACGTATATTTTATTTAATTAGTAAAAATACCATTTACTAATTATAGTAAACATGCGCGGGTAAAAGGAAAATTCCACGCAACTTGTTTGTTTGCCCTTGTCGTCCGCCGACCACTAAAGAAGTCCAACTCATGTTGTGAGTAGCATAAGCGCGCATCAACAAAAACCTGATGAATCTTGTCGCCTTGCGGTGGTTGGACTGGTTTCTTCGAATTTCAGTTTCTGAGTATTTTCAACAACCTCTAACAAATCTGTGTTTCAAGTAAGTTGCGATCGCGTGACCAAAAATACCAATGATTACCGGAAACACATAATAGAGCGAGTCTAATGTCTCCGTTTATATACTCTTAATTACTACACGAACTATCTAAGATTATTAGAAATTGTATTTAAATATTAAAAATAAGGAAGCTAAATACTATAGAATAACATTATGTTATTTAGCCGACTTTTTTTTTAAAAGGTTCCCTTTGTAGTGCCTGGCTTCTTTCGCAGCGAAAAAAGAAAAAGAAAAACAACAACACGACTGTGCCTATTATACGATTCGATTGCGGGGACGATTGCTACAAATGGAATGGCCGATAAAGCCAAGCAATAGCAGAAGGAAAAGTGAAAATACGTTCGCTCGCACCGGTCTTTCGTTTGATTTATGCCCGGTGTTCTATAACGCTTCGCCAGTTTGGCCTTGTCAATTGAATTCCAGACCAATCCTACTCAAACCGACTATTTACATTCCTGCTGATGTTGAAACAATAGATCGATCAAGACAGTTTGGCGTTCGTAACGTCGTCCTACAAAAATTTCGGATGAAATTTCGTTAGTCAATTATTCGCTCATCGTTCTAATCGTAACGATTAACAAGCTCTTTAAATAACGTGACCCACTTCCTGGCAAACAAACGCATATTCGTGAAATGTTTCGGTACTTTTGATGAAAAAGCGCAGCTCCTGAATCGACTGACATTCATTTCAGCTGTCGGCACGGAAAAACTGTTGCAGACGTGGCAAAGGCACATCAAATCCGACAGCGAATAAAAGAGAAAAATCACGGAATATTTATCGCAGTCGAACGGAATTCGCGGCGATGATTTTTATTTGAGCGTCAAAGCTTTTTGAAGAGCGGCCGGTTAGAAGCGAGTGGGCTCTTTTATTTTTCTTCTATTTCTACATAGAAGGTATATCGCACAAAGCAGCGAGAAGTGGCAGGAAATGGAAAAAAGGACAACAAAGCAGGAAAGCGGAAAAAATTGGCGACTCGGAGATTTTTCATCGTCCGCTTGCGCGAACAAAGCGGGGGAGAGAGAGTTAGTTTCACGTCAATGAAGGTGAATCTGGGTCGCGCCAGCTCGATACTGTTTCTCGCACTTATATATATGTCTATACATATATATATATATATATATATATATATATATATATATAGCAGCGGCACCTCGCACAACGTATGCCTATGTACGTTATCCACAAACGTGAAATCCTTATTCTGCGACGGCGGCGGACCTTGAAAGCTCGCCGCAGCGCATCTCGACTTTCCGATTGACGATCCGCCGTCGAGCGACGCTGGCTCATCGACCATGGACGGTTGAGACCGATCCACTCGTTGACCTTACGAATTTCTGACTTTCTTTTTTGATGCAGCGTACGCCTCGCCGAGAAGCCGAGCGTTGACGTTTCGTCTATTTTCGAATGCAATTGATTCTCGCCGAGCAATGGTTATCTTGCGCACGCAGCTCTAAATGAAGTTCGATGCGGCTAGCGCCGAGGCTCGATTAGAAATCGCCATTGCCGTTCTCTAAGATCCCGAACAACGGACGATTTTGCGCCAGCAGTTTTCGTCCTCGGTGTTTGCTCCAACGCGCGCGAGCATACCAACTTGGAGGGCAGCAGGCAAAATATCGCAACTTTTGGTCGTTTCAGGACGCCGAGTAACTTTGCCAACCAAATGTGAAAGTTGGCTAGCGCGCACCACTACGGCAATCGATGCCCGTGCTCTCGGGGAACAGCATTATTTTGACCGAAATGAGCCCAGCACAATCGTTAGAGCGTAGCCTTCAGATCTATTGTCACGGAATCCCCAATAACTAGTGACTTTCCATAATGTGCTCGACAAAACTTTGAATAATGTCCAAGGTTCGTCGAGGAGGGGGGAAGAAATCGGATGACCTCTTTGGCATTTCTTTGGTATTAATGCTTTGCGATAGGTCCAAGGATGGTCCAACCGTTCGGGATTTCCTGGACTTCCAAAGTGCGATACGGACAATCCATCATCGGGTAATTTGGTGTCGGATCCGCGGCGATTAATAACGACGGACAAGCGTCGGTGCATCGACGATGCCATTGCGGGGGTGCACTCGCGCGTGAAAAACGGGTCCGTTGCGCGCGCACTCTCTCTCTCTCTCTACGTCGTGGTCGCGGACGCGCGTCCAACTGGCCATGCCGGCACCGCGCAAAACCAGCCTGCATCCACGGTTTGTATTCATTTTCGCGGCCAATTGAATGTTATTTTAGCGGCGCAGCGGGCCGCAAAGTAGTTCAGCTTTATAAATACGACGAGGCAGGATAAAAATAAGAGGCAAATGAAGCGAGGGGAGCGCTCGGTCTCGAAGGCCGCGCGGGTCGCGAGAGAGCGCCGAGCCGAGGCGCGCTGTGCGTGCATGCGCCGCCGCAGGTTGGCGAACGCCGTGGGGCAAAAAGGCGATTGCTCTTCCTTGCTAGAGAACAAGTAGGTTGATTGAAATGGAGGACGACGCTGCGAGGAGTATATAAGAATAAAATGCGCTAAAAATACGCCTGCCGGCATCTCTTTCTGTCTGCTCCGAGCGGAAAATCGAGTCGCCGCGGCGCAACGACGGCACCGAGCCGACCTCGATACGCCGAGCGATGTTCATCGGCGCGCGCTCCCTGCCACTATTGCATGTTTTATACAGGGGCGCGCGCGCGCGGCTGCTGGCGAGCCGCAGAGAATCAATGTGCCGGCGACGGCATCCCGACGAATTTCGGCTGGCCTCCTTCGTGCAGCCGCGAAGAGCTCTTCGATCCTCGGACGGGCCGCGCTCGGTCCTCGGATGGCGGCGGAGTGCAATTACAGGCCGGGCTTTACAAGCCGAGCGTGAACTCGGGCGCGGGTATGTAGGTAAAGGGCCGCGGCGCCAGCAGCCCCCTCGTCTGCTCACCGTGTAGTACATCACAGCTGAGCGAGACGCGGGGGCGGCTGGCTGGCTGGCGGAGCAGCGGAGAAAGAACGAAAGCCGCGTCGTCCCCCAAAGCGGCGCGCGGTAGACGGCCGAGGAACCCCGGGACGAGCCAGCATCGCCATAGCAACCCCGCGTGCGCGCGGCCCCGCAGCCCGAGGAGGAATCAGCGCGCCGCTCGCCCTGGACGAGTCGCCGAGTCGCCGAGTCGCCGAGTCGCCGTCGCCGCTGCTTCGGCGATTTACATAATTATTCGCGTTACTGCGTCGCTGAAAAGCCACTCGATGCCTCTCTCCGATTGCTCCCGGCCAATTCCCGTTTGCCGTGTCGCTCGCCCGATCTCGGTCTTTTCTTCCGTTCTGATTTTTCGGCGGCTACGAGTGAGCCGCGTGACCGCGCGGCATTATCGTCGGACGATATATAACTCACGCGGAACTCGAGCGGCCGGCGCTCGCGCGGATAACGGAGAGCTCTCGAGAGCGCGACGGCACGATATAATCCCGCAATCCCGCCGCCTCCGCGGGCGATGAACGACGCCGATAAATTGGATAGCCGCCCGCGTCTTGCCGCCGTGAATTATGGCTTTCAATCGCATTTCGCGCGCTCCGTTGATATTTCGATGTGAGTTATATCGGCAGCCGTTATTTTGACCTGATTCTCCATTGATCGGCTTATTATTCAGTGCCTCCTCCCGGTCATTTTCCGCACGGCGTAATGAAAAGTCTACGCGTGCTTGTCGATCATTTACTCCATAACGATTACTTCATATCCATTTGCTGGCGATGCATAAATATTCGTCCTAACGCAAATGGAATCTTTCTGCTGGATTTACTGCTATATCTGTAGAATATATGAAACCATAATCCTATGGATACTAGAAAGGTTCGTTTGGCACCTGGCCGTTCAATCAGGGCCTACATGTAATTTTCTTCCAATTCGCCTGTAATCGATAGAACATGTCTGTGGGAGGACGGGAACGCGTTGTCCGGAGAAATCTGTCAGCCTTCCTGTTTCCAGCAATCAATCTGGATGACAAAATTTCGATTTCTCTGTATTATCCTCCGAAGCGACTTTCCAGCCAACGAGCATCGTTCATTTTCCAAACAAACGGGGCGCGCCCGAACGTTAGCAACGGCGACGCAGTCGTCGAGCTCGTCAGACCGATCATCGAAGCGAATGATCAGCGACGTCCGTCGAATTATCGTTAATGTTCGTGGTTGAGTGGGGAGGGGGGGGGGGGCAAGGAGGCGCCACGAAGCCGGGCTCAGGACGCTCGAGCCTGCGAGTGATAAATCGCCGCGGGCCAGTCTCGCGCAGCTGTTCGTCCGACGCCAGTCCTGATTTGCACGTGGTCGATCTACCCGTTGACGGTCGCAAATCCTTACGGGCGCGCGCGCGCGCTTGCAGCCGATGCCACGCGGCAAGCAGGCGCCGCGACCGACGGCTCCGATTAGCGATCGGTTCTGAGAGGAGAGCAAGCGTCGCGCGAGAAGCGAGACCGACGCAGCGGGATGCCGCTGCTTGTTTCGCTGACTCTGGCGCTGCTGTTAGCCGGCGCGGTCGACGCGGACGAGTCGCCGGTATTGCCGACCACGACACCAGCGTCCACGACCGGCGGCAACAACCAGACGATGTCGGCGATGCCGATGCCCGAAGCCAAACGAGCTCCCGAGCCGCCGATGTGGGCGCCGAGCCCGCCGGATCTCACGCCCATGATGATGCATCAGCAGGCGCCGATGGCTGCGCAGCCAGTAACGGCGGCGGCGGCCCCGATCCACCACCCGATTGTACCACAGGCAATCTATCCTGCGGCTGCCGCCGTCGCTCATTCGCCGCCCCAGCAACCCGTGCCGCAGTCACAGTCGCAGCAGCAGCAGCAGCCCTTCGTGCCCGCCAACTATTATCTCCCCGGTAAAAGCACGCCGTTTTTTGTCTGCGCGCGATAATGGGCACGACCGCTGCTCCCGTCAATGAACCGTGAAATATTTGACGTCTGCGGCGCCGTTGCTCTTTGCTTTTTTCGAGTCAGCTCTTTACTTGCCCCGTCCCATTCGATTTCCACTTTCCTCGGCGAGCTTTGATTACCCGGCGAAATCGGCGCAATTAAATGCGTTTTTGTCGTGAAACATCGAGCTGGCGAGAGGTAGATGTTTCACGGGCAGTTTTACGGTTCGGTTGCAGCTGACGAGTACCCGGCTCATCAGTACGGGGCGGCCAACGAGTACCGCAGCGAACACTACAGCAGCTATCCGCCCTTCGAGCCACAGCAGCCCAGCTACCCGATTCAGGCGCAGCAGCAGCAGTCGCTGCAACAACTCGACACCTCGCTCATCCCCACGGCCAAGCATTTCGTGCTCGTCAGCTTCATTGGACTTCTGCTGCTCTTCGCCATCATTCAGAACTCCATCGCCGCTGCCAAGCGAAAGGACGCTCTCGTCGAGGTCCTGTCCAACAGGAAGAAGCGCGACATCGTCGCCTTAACGAGCTTGCACAGGATGGTAAGAGATGTCGGACATTTTTTACGTGAAGTAAAACAGTAAAATGGCCTATTAGAGGGACAAACGCGTAACCATAAAGCCGCTCGTGCTCGCAGACTCCGGAGATGGAATTGGCGCTGAAAGAGGACGTTCGGGTGCGCTGCATACAAAGGACCCTCTGCTACGAGAATCGCAAGCTTCAGGAAGATCTCGGCATCGTCGGCAAACTGCTCGCCAAGTATTTAACGTGAGTGTCGTCACTTTTATCCTGATCCTCGAAAGAGAGAGAGAGAGAGAGAGAGAGAGAGAGAGAGAGAGAGAGAGAGAGAGAGAGAGAGAGAGAGAGAGAGAAGGACCGGCCAAAGTTGGGAGCAGCCAGTGATTTGCGGGCGCGACTTTGTGGCTCGCCCAACTGCTTCCGTGCGGAGAGGACCGGCGCTTTTGTGTGCGCGCGCGAAGACTTTGAAAGTCTCAATTGGCAGCCGCGCCGGTGACTTTTGCGAGTGGCCGATTGCGCGAACGAGCCGCACTGCGGCGCGAACTCTCCTCGGGGTGCGTCGACTGAACGGCGCTTTACTTTTCTACTCGGTCTTTTCTCAAGCATTGTTTCCCGCTCGAAATCCCGACACGCGTACAGAATACCCAAGTTTACTTTGTAGCACAACTAAATGGACAACGACGATTTTGCGACTGTTGGCAGGCGTAACGTGCAAAGTTCTCTGAAAGATTTGTCGCCAGGATGGGGACGTCTTGTCGAGGATGCAGCCAGCGCCGGATTGAGAGGCGAGGATTGCGACGTCCTCTATAGAGATTGCAGCTCCGCATTTTCCGATGAAACCGAGGAAAGCGACGTCCTCGAAGAAGACGAGGACTAGATTGCTCGCGATATGCATTTAAATTGCGATTGATTTCATGCTATTTTTAATAAACGTTGAATAATAAAAGTAAAGAAAGATCCACTACTTGACGAAATCGGTGTGAGAAGCGTGGGTATACAGGGATATCGAATGATGGACGGAATGTGGGAAGAAAAACAAGCTGAGCTTCAGGTTTCTCAATTTGTAATTACAATACGGTTTTGCTTGTTTATCGCTACAAACATCGACATCCAGCCTGAACTATTTTAGACAGCACAGTCTGCACTTGGCGCACTTCTCGCGCGCAACTCGCTCCGCACTTACACGTGGATTTTTTTATTTTATTTTCTGGTTTGTTCTCGGTACGCATTCACACTTTCTCACTTGGAATCATATTACATTATATAAAAAATATCAAATCACGAACGAAAACAGAGGATAATGGAGACAATGATAAAATTGCGCTGGTACTTCGAACTTCCACTCTCGTCTCAACTAATTACATAACACTATCGTTATTATCGTTCATAACATTAAGGCATTACGTATTTTAAGTTCTCCATCGCTCTGCATCGTCGCGCTATACAGCAATTATACTTCGCTAAGTCGCTTCATCAACTTTTTTTATTTATTCCTTCTCGTCGGCTTCATTGTTTTACTTGTTCTGTTATAACTTAAATCATAAACGGTGAGATCGCTCGTTGCTATAGTCCAGGCTTAATAACACAGAGAATCAGTCAAACGCATACAATCGCCAAGTGAACTTTGTTAAGCAGTCAAAGCTTCCGGACAATCAATTTTTCACTTCGACTTGATCAGCGCATGCGGATAACTTCGATTCCTCTTTTATTGCCCCTTTAAGTAGTAGTTTCCTTAATTAAGAACTGGCATTGCAATAAGCATTAGAATATGTGATCATTTATTTTAACCTTCGTTGGGGCATGAAGCATCTAAATACTTTGAAGTATAGGTGCTTCTTTTTTTATCAGTCGCAAAAGTTTCTTGCGCGTCGATACAGGACTAACTCGATCGTCCCCTGAATCCGATATAGACTCGGTTGTCGTTCTTTATGCTTTCGGTTTTCGAGGGTGGAAATTTCTTGACAGCGGATTAGTCTCCACGAAAGGCGAAACAATTTCAGAGTCAATAAAGTCAAATGTGAGGAGAAACGAGTTTATTATTGAATCAAATCAATTGTCATAAGTTTAACAAAAACGTCAATGACCGAATGCGGTTGTCTTTGTGTAGAATCCAATTAAGAGAAACAAATTTTTGAATTGTATTTTTTAAAAATTTTGAAATAAAATCATTGACGCGCAATCACATGGAAATTTTCCTAATGATCATAAATGCCTAGCGCCAAATCGTCTTTGTATACCATAAAAGACTGACACTTGCATTCGCACACACCCTTTCGTTTTCACTTATTCATACATCAATTTTTTTTTATCTGCTCGTGCGACGACAATATCGTATAATCCATTTTTTATTTTCATTCCATAGTTTATGTCAATTAGATATTGTTACAAAAGTATTACTATGTACAAGCTCCAGAAACACTGGCCTCACTCGCGTCAGATTTGCCCGAGCCAGATTCATTTTTCCATAACTTAAATTTAGAAAACAACTATGGTCACCTTCAATTTCGTTTAATTATGAATTAGATCAATATACCTATCTATGTAAAAGTATCTGAGCTCATGGGGAATTCGAGCGCGAGTTGGTCACTTCGCGAGAATGGCACTGTTCCTTTCGACGATATAAAGCTCTCGAAAAATCATTACGAGGTGAAGTGATCGATTATTATAGTTTACTTTTTTGTTTTCTGGCGTTGGTCAGCGCTGTCCCTGACCTTTTTTCAACTTCGTAAGACGAGTATCTCTGGCAATTGTGAAACAATTATCTAAGCAAGACCAAGATCGAGGCACCAAAGAGCTCGGAGGCCGAAATCAGTTCTAGTCGTTCGGCTTGTTGGAAAAATGAAATTGTTAATGGACTTATGCCAAAGCAATGAGATAGATCTGAACGTCTCACAAGGCACAGAGGAAGCAGAAGAGAGAAAGAAGAAACAAAATTCGTGTTATTAATAGTATAAAACGAATAAGTCGTTAGTTTTCTATTATTGGTATAAAAACACTTTTTGTCATTTTTTTAGTCGTTTATTTGCTTTTTCAATTTGGATTTGTCAATTCATTAGTAATTAGAGAAAAATAACGATGTTCGCGTCTTTCTCTCATGTCTCATTCCTCTTTATGCTATAGTTTCATCGTGTTTTTTAGCATTTTATGCGTTTCTCACAGCTTCCCCCGTAAAAGAGGAAGCGCACAATATTGTTTTGTATATGCCTTTACAAGTTTATACGACGCTTACACAATGTCCGAGCTCGAAAATCATAAAGTCCTAAATCGGTCAATCGATCGTCGAGCCTACCGTAAAAAATGAATCCACATTATGTCGACTAACACTCTTAATTAATTAAACTATCAATTGATATAATATTAATATTATCATTAATAATATGTACAAAGTTCTATCGCTATTTGTTCTGTCCAGTATGCTCGAAACGTGACACGCGTTCGGATCTTATAAAATATTATCGCTTCAATGCTGTTCTCAGTGCGTATTTTCATGCACGTCTTTTTTGCCCAATAATATTTATAATTAATTTATAATGGTCTTAACATACACGTATCTTTCGGGTTTTCCTTAAACTGTACGGTACTTATGTGCTTTCATTTTCTTTAGGCTTGCAATATTTTACTCCAGCTGAGCAACTCGAGTTCGATATTGCCCGTGTCCATATATAAAATACGACAAATTATGAATGGTCACAATTTCTCAAGCGAGTTTGTTTCATCGAGGACCATGAGGAAGCTTCAGTGTTATCTTCCTCTCTCCGTCTGTCTGTCTCTCTCTCTCTCTCTCTCTCTCTATCTCTCTGAAGGATTGCTGGCTGTGCGCTTTTTACTTAGACGTAAATTAATAAATAACATAAAAAATACTGAACAAAATGACACGTACAGTTGTTTTGAATTTTTATTTATGCTATAAAAAATTTGAAAGAATAATTGGTATCAAATAAATAATTATGAAACAATTGAACAGAAATCGGAAGACGCGGCACGTCACGAGCATTAGGTCTCAAACATTAACTAATTATAAACATGTGCGTGGGTCAATTTCCGGAAGGTTTGGTTGTAAAAAATTGTACAATCGGTTGCATGAGAGAAACTGGGAATGTCAACAAACACGAAATAACTCTATGTCAAGCTATTCGTAAAATGAGAAAATCCCCTTTTTCGTCTCAATGATTTTCTCGATCTTAATGATACAAGGAAATCGATTACCGAATGCGCTGCAGAACAAAATAGAAAAATTATATTTCACAAATAGGAAAACCAACTATATTCGAGTAATGAACAATTTAATACACTAATATACTTGTTACTCTGCTCGAAACCGCCAAGCAGTGAAAAAAAAATTACCGAAAATGGTCGCTTCATTGTCGAGAAGACAAATGTTATAACATATTTATATACATCATGAGACCGAAGGTCGGCTCATTCCTTACGCTCTGTGAATTGCTTGTTTAAATCAAATGACGAAACGTAAGCACTAAGGTATCAACTAGACAGACCAGTCATAAGTTGTCATGCTAATAGTATAGAAGTTACACGCCCATTACAATTATTATCGACATTCACCATCGTTTTATCAACAGTGAATTCAACATCTGCATCACTATAATCGTCATTTTCACTGTTCACTGATCATTATTTGCGATCTTAAATTTACCAGCTATTAAAGTTGAAAAATGTCAATGTAAATGCAATAACTATCAGTGAAGCAACGAAAACGACAAAACACATTCACAATTTTACAATTTATGCACATATCACGCAAAAAACAAAAGAAAGCATGACATAGACAGTGTTTTGACAAAAATAAAAAAGTTATCGCCAATCTTGAACTCACCTACAACACACACATACCACTAGATATTTTGTTAGATCTAGCATATTTAAAAAAATTGTCTGAAAATTCACTCTACTGGAAGGTAGTCCATTCTGTTCTTACTGTACACACATTTTTCACTGTTTTCTCTTTAATATAGTTAATAATTAGCAATCGTTTCATGTAACATAATTGTATTTTCTATTTTTGTTTCTCTGCTTCACGCAAATGTTCTCTCTTGTTCTGTTTATTTTTAAATCCTCACCCACTCGCACTGCTGGACTAGAGCATAAGCCCTGAATTTGTTTTAGCAAGAGAAAGGTTATTCGTAGATCTATCGGCCTCCAGGCTCGACTAAGTCTAACGTTTTACTGGCCAACCTTGAAGTACCACCAAGATCACACGAACTCTCACCAAGCAGCATGCCTTGAGTACAAACTTCGCACTTAACAATTGCAGCATTCGTTCTTTCTAAGTGCAATTAATGTCAGATCGTTTCGCATTACATTTTTGTTTGTTATGTCCTAATTTTATCAACAAAATTCATAAAATTAAAAAAATAATAAGGAAAATGAAGATTCAGCGATAATCGTCGTTCATCTTAACAAGTAATAAAGATTTTACGATTTGAATCGCACATAGAAAACATAAAACAACAATGACCTAATGATAAACTACAATTAATTCTTTTCGGTATTACATTCTATCACGAATTAAGTTACCCGAGGGTCAATCTTGAAAATAAAAACACGACAATCTCGAATTTCAAAATTTCGTTCAGCAAACGCTGATAGTCGAACGATTCTTCCTACTCGTCCTATACTATAAACACATTTCCAGTTTTTCTTATTTGTTTTGTTTTCAACACGAAAGACACGCAACTGTTGGTGGGCTTTGCTCGATGGCATACGAGGGGTTTGGCGGGTCCCCTGTGCGTTGTAGTTTATAACGATGTAGAATGGTTATCGTAGTCATAGTTGTGGTGATCGTAGTAGATGTGGCGCCTTAGTAAACACTTATTAGTGGTTACCTCCTGTCTCTGTACAGTAGGTAAGTTTTCATTGCTAACGGTAGGTTCAATTCGTTAACCTTATCTTCAAGACGCTCTTTTCCGATTCGCTGTCGGATCACTCGTCGGCAAAGGTCCATAAGAGGTAATGGTTCAGCTGCAAGTGTAATATTGATAAGAATTTTGAAATATCTCTGAAAATACAAATGAATTGATGCTTACGATCGAGACCGCCAATGTACTTCATGGTAATTTCACAGTGGCCCCAGACTGCTGATACAATAGGATACAGCTTTCTACCCTTGAGACCTCTAAAGGCTACACCCAGGTACTGGCCTTCAACAACAAATGCTAGCGTACCCTCATCCATATCGAGTACAACTGTGACAAGAAAGAATTATGAATAAAGGTTCATTATAAATGTGAGGCTTTTGTTTTTGAAAGACAATTAAGACAAAGTACTAACCTAAAAATTTGTCAGGAACGACAAACGATTCTTCTGGTTTCAAAAGTGCAGGATACGTAATGCCATTGTTGTTTTTTGAATCATGGTAAAGTTTATTCCTGCCAAGGTCCCAGCCCCAGCTAAATTCATTGTTACCAACGAGACTTTGATAACCAACGCTGTGTAGAGGTGCTTCTGCTGTAGCCACACCGACGACGGCGTGAGTGCCACGTTGCCTTGTACTCCAGTGGAGTTCCCAAACATGCATACCCTTTGTGTATCCAACCTTCCCTCTTATGCAGTCTGTACTTTGTGCAACAGGATGTCGGTGGAACGTCAATTTGTCATCCTCCTGCAAAGACTACACATTATTGAAATGTTTGTTTATCATTATATCAATTGTTCAACAAAAAAATGACAGAAATATTTAAAATATTGTATTACATTGTTGCTAGTTGAGAAATTTTCAAGGATACCTGTTTAAATGAATTTTTTCTCATTTGCTCTAGTATAGAATAAAAGCAAGAGAAATTTGAAAAATATTTGTTTAAAAACTTGATGAATGAAAAAATAAAACAAAGACAATAATCATTTATACAGCAACCAAAAGTAGTAAGGAATTTTACAATGTTTTTAAGGTAGAAGCATAAAGATAGATAGATAGGGAAACAAAGTACAGGTCAAATTATTTATGGTTGAATGAAGGGTCAGCTATAAATGTAATGCACAGCACACCTTTACAAAAATGTTGAGACTTCTGTCCTCGGCATTCCAACTGTGATGTATCTGCGTTTCCCGTGAAGCAGGCGGCATGTCCAACAAGACATCGAGACGTGCCGGCCTAGAGAAGTCTTGAGCTAGCTCCCTCGGCAAGGCTGCCTTGAAAGCCGCCTGGCCTCCACCGACGCCAACTCCACCTCCTGTAGCTGCACCGCTCTCACGCGATACGCTTTTCACACCACCTGAAAAGCAAACAAAATGTTAATTTAATCATTTCAAGAGTCGTTCATGTCTTGTCTTTTGTCATTGCGAGTGTCATGTTTTATTCCGCGTAAAACGTTTGCAAACAATGCCTCGGGTATAACGCTATTTTGTCTGCCTTGTTTTGTGTGTGTGTATATGACATGTGAAACAGTTCAATTTGAGAGAGAGAGTAATAGGGATCGAATATGTGATGAATAATTCTCATTGTGGAATACACGCTAAGAATGCAGTAAGTAAAGTGTAAACAAATACCCATAGACCCACGTTGGTCACTATGCATTGTATAATAAGACTGGGCTAGTTAACAAAGCACGAACACTAATCGAATACGTTTTTAATGAAGCGCGTATAAAGTCGCACTCAAGAGAGAAAGAGATAATCAAATGTCTCCATAGAATTACGAGGCAGTAGAATTAATGTGACGAATTTTCACGAACAAAAAGCCGGTACTGACAGGGAGAGAAGAGGCACGTACAGCAGCGTCGAGAACTGTCTGCGTTTGGGTGTATCCTCCTCGTGGTGGGTCGATCATGTTTACCTCTCCTGGTGTTCGTAGAGCCGACGGATCGCGATACCTTTGTCCTTGAGATCGTGCTGACGTTTAACTTTTTGAGTCTATTCGAAGTTCGTCTAGTCATACTATCGTTATTGCGTTTGCAAAACAACCTGGTAAAGAATGTTCGAACAAGTTTGGTCACGTTAGTCTTTCTGGTCGAGAAGCGTCTCTCGTCAGAACGAGGAGAAACGAAAGAACGTAAACCTGGTTCGTGGACCTCTTCGCCGATCGCGGCCGTACAATCGCCGATAACTTGAACGAGGTTAGCTCGTCCGCCGTCAATGTCGAGGAGAAACCGAGTTTCACGTGCCTGTGCCACGACTTTAGGGGGCGCCACTTTCCTGCCCTTTGTGCCACCGCTGTTCGTACCGTACCACCCCAAAGTTCTGATACAGCTGCTGGCCGCGCTTTTAACTTTTCAACTGTTTTATCACCAATGTTAGTCACTCCTTTTTCCACTAAAACTTGAAAAACTAGCTTTTCCAAATTATTGATTTTGCCGTTCGTTTGATTCGTTTCCCTCTCGTTACTTCTGTCCAACGAGTATTGCAGTTTGAACATGAGTTTGCCTTCGTGATCGTTGTACTTAATAAAACAAGTAAAATTCACCATCGACTGGAGAACGATATTATCAGAGAAAGATATCTAGCGCGAGATCCATATGGAGACGGAAGCGATGAACTATAGTCGATAAGTAGGAAGAAAAGTAGCGAAGCGAAGAACGCGTGCTGGACGGACGACAGCGCGAGCGAGACTGAGCATTTTTGAAGAATTTCCGTGACGCGCAGCCGAGACTACGCATTTGGAGGCTGTCACGCAGCAAGGCGCGCAGGCTTGAAAAAGGGCCGCTGGTTTATTTGAGTGCGAAGGCCTGACGAAGGGCCGAGGTTTATTTGAGCGCGCAGCTGTACTCGCGCCACTAGTCGTCGATGAGGGTTCCTAAATGTCTTTTCCTTCCAGGCAGCGCGCGCGAGAAAAGGCCAGACAGAAACGAGGAGGGTCGGTCGGCCGGCCTACTAAAAGCCTGCACAGGGCCGAAGCCAGACGCGCTGGGGAGAGAAAGAGGACGAAGAAACTTATTCAGTGCCTTCAGAAACATTCCGAGAGGGCCCATCCTTTATTTGTTGTAACAATTTGGACGGGGCTGCTCGGTAAAACCGACTAAAGTCCTGCTGTGCTAATGTGCGAGGATCGAGGCGAGGATCGAGGCGATGATCTAGGATCAGCTGAAGCAGCTTGATATCTCGTCGAGGACAGTGGACGGTGGAAAAACAGCGCAATTAAGGATGCGCATTGCCGTGCGCCGCGATGAGTAAGCGAGGACTGCGCTTTCACTGCATTTTTCGGGAAATGGAATAACGATTGGCACCGTCAGCTAGGAACAAAGCTCGCTCTAGCCGTGACGTCTTTCGGCCGGCAGATTAACGAGCGGAGACGCTGGATCGATCCCTATCGACGGGCCATTCCACGGGGCAGCCGTGCACACACCCGAAGCCGCGGGAAAATGGTGAGACTTGTCCCGCGGGCCGGAGGTGAGTAGCCGTTTTATCCCCTGACTGATCTCGCCCGATCGCATTCAATCCCAAACTTCTTTTTTCTCTCCTCTCTATTTATCTACAGCTCGCACGTACGCTTGGCCTTTCCGGGAATCGACCCACGCCTAACTTCATCATTCTCCCCGAGCGTGCCTGCTGCTTCGACTGGACAATCGTCGGAAGAAGAAAAGCATAAAGAAGCTGCACCGCTTGGCCGATTTCGACGACGAGCGGAGAAAGGTGAGGAGGACAATTACGGCAGGCCAACGCGAGTCTAGGAAAAAGAAGGCGGTTATCCTACGCGCATGATGGATTGTGTACTTAGAGGTGAGGTAACGCACTTGGTCTTGCGTAAGGCCAGCCAAGAACGCGGCCTTGAACCCACGTTTACATCCAGCCAAGTCACGACTCTTGACTATTGCTTTCCTTTTATCTTCGGCGGAACGAGTGAAAATGAAGAAAAAAAGTCAGAAAAAATACGGACTCGAGAGTATCTCTCGGTCGACGAAACAATTTTTTTCCGACCTTTCACGGCGAGAGCTCCAAGTGAAAAGAAAACAGCGTAACCGCGCGTCAGGATCGCAGGCTCGAAATGAAAATGCCGATCGATGTCAAAACTTTGCTGGCGAATGCCATTTCTTGTACGCGCGCTAACGAGAGCCTCGGTGGCGGGCAATTTCCCCTCCTCCGTTCCGGATGTTCGACATTTTATCCATGCGAATTGCCCCCCTCGCCCGCGGCGCGAGCTTTTTTTCTCTTCTCTTCTCTTCTCTCCACACGGACGCGAACGAACGCTCGAAGAGACGGGGGGCAGGCGAAACTGTGGCGCTCGGCACAGTTACGCGCAGTCGACATTGCAATTAGCGAACGAGTGCGCGTGCGCTCCATTAATGAAGAATCGATCTCGCCGGACTGGCAAAGCCCGAACGTGCAGAACCGTCGAATTCCATCGTGAGATTCACGCCGGCACCGAGGGTATCATTACCGTCGGAGCAACATTGAATAATCTAATCTGCTTGCGCGCGCGCGCGCGGAATTTTTCATCAATGGCTTGATTGCGCCATTGATCCCCGTAGTCATGGCAAACGCGCGAGAAACAGAGACGGACTCTGATTGCGTATGTTCGCTGGAAGGCTGCGCGCATTAATAATCGCTCATCTATTCCATTTGCACGTCCTCCGCGCGAGAGAATCATTCGAAAATTAACAGTGTGGATACAGAGCACAAAAAGGCAGACAGACACCCGAAGGTTCGGGGGAGAGGTAAAAAAAGGGAAGAGGATGAAGGGCGCCCCAATCGTAGGAATGGCTGCATGATTCAGTATCAAGGGGAAGAGGCGGGACCTGCGCTCCTCTCTCTTTCTCTCTCTCTTTCTCTTTCTCTCTCGGCACCTGGAGGGAGAGAAAGAGGCAGCAGGCTCCTCTGGTCTACTCAAGGTGCAGGTAGCGAGACCTTGACCCATGGATATAGCGAGTCAACCGCCGCTATGGGTACGACGGTTTTTTGTGCGCGACGCTATCGGAACGGGAACAAAGAGGACGGGCATTGTGCTGTTGTCGTGCGACCTACCTGATATCTTTTGGCCCATGTTCATGCCCCGGTGGGGACGGTAGTGGTTATGCGAACGCGTGGGATGGTGGCGATGATCGGTGCACTGCTTGCTGATGGGCAGCTTCTGCCTCGTGTGCCTGACGTTGCTGCTCGGATGGTAGAGGTGGTGATGGTGGTTGCTGCTCGGGTGGTGCACGTGGTGGTGGTGGTTGTTGGTCGCCTGCTGCTGCTGCTGCTGCTGCTGCTGCTGCTGCTGCTGCTGCTGCTGCTGCTGTTGCTGTTGTTGCTGCTGTTGCTGCTGCTGCTGTTGCTGCTGCTGCTGCTGCGACTGGGTCTGAGTCTGCTGCTGATGAGCTTGGGCCACCTGGGAGACGACCTGGGCTTGGTTGGTGCCGCCTCTGGGACTGCTGTCCTGGGGGCTGGCTTCGCCGCCTCCAGCCCCGGCTCCGCCGCCCCCGGTCCCGCCGCCGCCGCTGCCTCGGTTCCGGATCCGCAGCAGCCGAGTCGCGGTCCCGATGTTACCGCCGCCTCCGCCTCCTCCGCCGCCGCTTCCTCCGCGGCTAGCGTCTCCGCTCACGCAATGTAGACTGCTGAAGTACCTGTAACATAAGAAGGCAGGCTTTAGATAGTTCTGTCAATGGCCATCGATCGGCATACTTTCGCCTCGTGTATTTCCGAGCTAAGCTTTGACAGGACACGCCGGCTTCGTGTGCTTTAAACTTTCAACGGTTTGCCGAAAATACGCCGACTCTGAATTCGCGAACGATTGACCGAGCGCTTGTTACTGGCTGACAAACCATGTATAAATATCTCGGTGTATACTGTCTGTTTGCTCCTCTACTTCGCAGAACGTCAATTGATTTGGAATCTGAGCTTTCATGCTTCGTCGTCAGCAGCTTTATATAAAATAACGGCCGACAAATAATCGTTGCTATCCAATTCGCTCGCTGACTAATCAGAATATCATTCACACGAGGAAAGTTTTGCGAATTTGCCGTAACAGTAGCTGCCGATCAAAGTGCACAATTGCCAAACAATTGAAAAAAAGGTGATTTTCCTTGTGTTTCAAGCAATCGGGAGTAGGTTCGAGGCAGTGCTCGTAAAAAAAAACTAGAAATATAATTTGGCAATTGGTAGCGGATGCGGATTGACAGGAACTGCTGGTCCGATAGCCCAGTGGGGTCGTAGACATGGAGCGAGATAGAGAGAGAGAGAGAGAGAGAGCGGGGCCGTCCTAATCCAACAGCTCAGTTACAAAGTGACGTTGATTAAAACAAGCTTGATGGCTCGAGAGAGTGTTTGATTGTCGTTGACACGCGATATTGCAAGGAAGAGGAGGACGCGCGCGGCAGGGCTCAAAACCGCAGACGCGCGGCGATCGATCACCGTATCCGGCTTCCGCTTTTATTGCAGCGACCAGTCTCGCGCTCGGCTAATGGCACTGCCGAGCCTCACAGACGCCCCACCGCCCGCGCGCCTTACAGGTCTTGCAAATTAAACAATTGTTGACGCGCGCACGAAGCGAGAAAGAGAGCCGAGCACAACGTAATCAGAGTTTACACAAGAGGCATGTGTAGAGAGAGAGAAAGAGAGCGCGCGAGCCGCTCTTATCGGGGCCGCTCATTGATAAAAAGCTGACGCGCGCGCGTCATGCTCGCGAGGCTATAAGCGGAATCGCACAATGCCGGGCGTTGTGCGCGGCAGCGCCGCGCACGTTCAGCACGTTTTCCTAGCTGGTATCACGTTTTCGCTTCTTTTTCCGTGCCGTATAACGTTTACTCCGCGCCAGAAAAAAAAGAATTGTCGCTCTGCGAGCCGTCGGAGTAGGACTCGCGCGTGCAACCGATTAGATACGCGCACGGAGTCAAAAGGGGGAAGTGGAAAGGAGCGCGCGACGACTGGATTTCGACGCGAATGCTCGGCTCGTTTGATTTCCGGCCGGACACGTTAGATCCGTTTCGTTTCGGTTGGCGGGCGCGCGTATTCGATTACGCCGGATGCGGAGCAGATATCCAGCTTTCCATCGATGCACGGACAAAGAAACGCAGGCCACAATCCGAAGCGGCAGTTTAGCGCCTCTGGTCTGGTGCTAAGTGTGTTGCACGCGTGTGGCAGTAGCTGCCGCGCCAAAGTTGCGGCAGCAGCCCAGTTTCGTCAGCGTTATTCAACGCCACGCCTGTGCTAATCACGCGAGCGCGAGACGGAAGGAAGACGATCCAAGATTCTCGAGTTTGCCGGCGGCGGCGGTAACGGTTGCACGCCAATGGTTTCTTCGCGCGCCGCCGCTATTATCATTCGCGACGGGCGTAATATCGTTATGACGCCCTTGCCGCGTCTCCTCCGCCACTCGTTAGCGCAATTTAGACCAACAGTCGTTCGCGACTTTATCGGATTTGACAAGCTTACATTTGCCAAGCGCCGAGTTGTTACCGAATAAAAACTTGCGTTCGACTCCGAATTTCCGCGGCACAGCGCCCTTTCAAATTCCAGCGAGGGGATAAATTTCGATGTCTAGACGAGATTTTTCAATCTGCGTAACTAATGAAAAGAAAAATGCGGCACTAAACGGCAATAAACGGCAGCAGAAGGTCGCTTGGAGAATCGACGCGAAAGGAGAAGAGGAATGCGTTTCTAAGCCGAGCCGATGAAAAAAAGCTGACGAGTCGTAAAACGTGGGGCTGGGCGCGGCGGCGGCGGAGGGGGGGGGGGGGGGCAGAGATCAGAAAGCTCCAGCCATCCAAATATTTACGCGCTCGTAAAGCCAGAAAGCAGCGGTGCGGCGGCGGGGCCGTTAATTTGGCTGGTTGGCGTGCTCTCCGCACGTTGTACACGCGGGCGTCGAACCAGCCAACGTTTTCCGCGAGTATTGATCGCGTCGCGTGCACGCCGCTGCGCCGCGGCGCTCGGAGCCACGCCGAATCCGGCCGTGGCGTCGCGACGGGGGCACGGGTGAAAGGTCCGATTATTTAACAATTCATAGCGGCTAATTCGGGGTATTTATTAGCCGTAAGGCGCGCATTGTGCGCAGGTCGCCCGAGCCACTTTCACTTTCCGCGGGCGCACGGCAGGCGGCACCGCCGGCGCTGCCCGGCACGCGCGTGCTCGCGAATATTAATTTCGCGCGAGCGAGCGCATAGCAGCACGACGCTCGCCGTACGTCGCGCTCGTCTGGCTCATAGGCGAGAGCTGCTATTTTACAATTAGCCTTTCGCGCGCCAAGTGCATTCGGTTGCTCGTTCCGGGCGCGCCGACGACGCGATTGTCCGGCCACTCGCGGCGCCAAGCAAAGCGGCGAAAGGAGCGCCAAGGAAACAATTACTGGCGAGACTGCTGGGACGGCACAGCTGACGCGTCGCGTCCGACTCTCTTTCGGCACCTGTTGGCTGCATGGCTGGCCAGCTGCATCGCGGCGCGGACGACTGGACGGCCGCTTGGCGACGAGAGGAGGGTGAAGAGGGTCAGTTTGACTGGCTCGTTGCCACACCCCGACGTGGTCAGAGCGATCGCGGAACAACGAAACGGTGGCGTACTGGAGAGCAACCTTCCTGGCAACAGGCGCGCCGTCACCATCGAGGCGAACTCGTGCACGCGTCACTCGCCAACTCTCATCGTGCGCCTTCGTCAAAACAAAACGCGCGACACGCGCTCACCTCCGCGAAGGCCGCAGCAGTGTTGGCGCGTTCTACCGATTCGACGCGGATAGGTGTGTGCGCGCGCGAGTAGAGCAAAGCAAAGAAAAATTGAGCCCGCGGTTTCATTCGGCCGCCGCGATCTCAAGGTGACTCGACGGTGAGTCTCGCGCCTACGGATTGCGCGGCCGAGCTTGCGCTTTTTTTTTGTTTTTTGTTTTTCGAGGCGCTTTAGCGATAGAAAACCCGTCGGGTGTATGTAATAGTTTGCGCGTTGTTCGTCTTCGCACTGGGATAATACGCAAGCGAGCTGGTTAACGACTGGACACACTGCGAAAACTCTTTGCTAATAAAGTCAAGCGACAATTGCCATTGCTTGGGATTCCGTTAACGAATACGCGTTGTTTCTGTGGATAAATTAGGGTAGTTCGCTGTGACGTGAGCCAATTCGTCCAATGAACGACTTCATTGGGCTTCCAAATTTCTTTCTCCGGATAAACTCCGAAGGTAAAACTAAGCAGAGAGAGAGAGAGAGAGAGAGAGAGAGAGAGAGAGAGAGAGAGAGTCGGGACGGAGAGGCGTCGATATCTATGCCAAGGAGTTGCGGCTGCGATTTCCTTTTTCTCTTCTCTCTCTCTCTCTCTCTCTCTCTCTCTCTCTCTCTCTCTCTCTCTGTCGGCAGCAGTGGCTGTGTGTCGCCTTGGAGGAAAAGAGACTCGGAGCGCGCGGGAAAACGGGAGAGAGCCACTGCCAGACGTTGACGCGTTTGCCTGCGCGCGCGAGCAAGCGATGATGAAATTCAGAAACGACGCAAGAAGATTATCTCAAGGACCGATGGAAAAACGAAAGGCGGCGCGCGTGGACGTGCATTCAGCGCACGTATATTACTGTCCTTACGCGTCGCTCGTACGCACGTCAAGCGAGCGACGATCGCGAGCTCGCGGCTCGCCTTGGCGTGTTGGCGCCGCCCGTCGTTGCTCCTCCACGAGCAGTAGAGAAGCGAAAAGGAGCCGCGCCATGCACGCAAGTTTTGTCGATAAGCGCTGGCGAGTTGATCGGCGTCGAAAAGGTGGGTGTGTGCGGGCGACGAGCCTTGCTAGCACTTATCGCGCAGCCGTGTCCGTCGCTCCCTTATTTGTTCGATAGCCGCGCGGCTCGCGGTTCAGCGACCTTGACGCTCGCGCTCGCGGCCTTCGCTAGCACAGCGCGCTGCGCTGCATCTAGCGTTCGCCGTGGTCGTCGTTCATCGGCACTCGGCCATCTGGTTGATCGAGAGCAACCCCACTCGGGAGAAGTTCATTCGCAAGCTCTGCCTCGTTGCTCCGCCGTGCGAACGGCGGCGAAGGGGTGGTGCTGACGAGACGCGGGCGCCAGGAGTGGCTGCTCCGGGCTGGGCGATCGATCGCGAGCTGCTTACTTTGATGGGAAAAGCCGCTGCGACGCGGAGCGCTGAGCAGGTCTACGTGCAGCGGGTATATAGGATAAGAGCGAGCGAGCGAAAAGAGGATGAGCAGAAGAGAGAAGTGGGGAGTCGGCGCTGGCGCTGCTGGTGCACACGCAGACAATGAACAATCGTACATTGTTGCGAGTTATAGCATTGTTACTCCACCGTGCCGCGGCGGCCATGTTCACATAATTAGGCTGTAAACGTTTCCAGACAATCACCATTGTTTGCCTCTTTCTCTCTCTTTCCCCCCCTCTCTCTCTCTCTCTCTCTCTCTTCCTCTTGCCACTGACGACGAGCGGCGTCGACGACGACGATGCTCGCCCACTTCCTCCGGGATCCGCTCGCGACTGCTCGCCGCGAGCCGATCTCCTTTTTCGAGTCGAGACTGGCTCAAGATCAAGCGCGCGCGCGTGCCGACGAAAGCGAAAGCCGCGCGACGTTGCGCTCGAATGATGTCGCAGCAATTTTACATTAATTTTATTGGGATGAAATTCCGAACCTCCGCCGTCGTCGTTGTCGTCGT